TAAAATACTAATTAAAGTTTCTCCTTTGTTAAGCCGATCCTGTTTCAATTGTGATTCCTTAATTTTGTGTTCATTATTGTTTAAGTCCCAATTATTAATATGTGAATAGAGGGGAAGGCCGTTTTTTTTTGCTTATACTCCCTATATCTCCACAAAAGCTACTTGGAGAGTTAGAGAAATATGTCTGAGATGGTATTAAAGGCTGCAGTGGGTAATGAAAACAGGTAAAAAATATCTATTCTTTCAGCCAAGGTTTCAGCTGGCTCTTGATCGCTTCCATGAATAGATTTTTTTTTTATTTTTCAAAGTTGGAGAAAAGTTGGTCAGCAGCCCCTCTTATCAGGCAGTTTTCGTGTCCTGAAGAATTTTTCTGAAGAAAGTGGGTTTTTTTTTACTATTGATGTTAATAGCATACTATACTCAACCTAGTGTTCTTAAGATGTTTTAGATACTGTAATCTGATAATTTGGTTATGTTTTACATTGGTAAAGTTGAATTTGCATGCACCATACCCTTAACTAAAATACAGTCCACAGTCTCTATAGTCATTCTCTAGCAGTTGAATTCCAATTAAAATGGCCAACCAGTTCAGTCCACACATTTTTTTTACTGCTACTATATTTTTCCTCTTGTTTGTTATTTTCTAGATAAATGTATTATCACCTGATGTCTCCTGAGTATACAGTAGTGGCCAAAATTGTAGAAACCTTTTGGGGAAAATGTACTTTTATGACATAACTACCAAACAGGGAGATCTTGGTTTCATCACTCCAACTAACACTGTCCCATTGTTCCTCTAGCCAGGTAACATGGGTTTTAGCCCAGTTTAGTCTTTTCAACCTTTGTTTGAGAAATAAAAGTGGCTTTTTTCGTGGAATTCTAGATTTTAGACCAAATTCCTGCAGTCTGCCCCAAACAGTCCTTGTACTCAACTTCATATTGCATTGCGGCATTTCATCTTGTATATACCCAGATGATTTTCATCTGTCACATCAGCACAGTCTCTTAATTCTTCTATCATCACTTGTTGTTGTGCACCCTTTTCCTGCCTTTACCAGTGTGGTTTTGTAATGACCGAGTTTCCTTATGCCTTTTCAAAAATTTAGAAATGCCACCTTTGGTTAAGTTTCCACCAATTTTTCTTCTAATTTCTTTATAATTGTAGCCTTGTTCACTTAATAATACTATTTTACATCACTTTCTGGGTGACCAGTCAACTCTTTGCACTATTACTTTAATTTTATTATGCTTTACAAGCTCACTAAATGAAAAACCCAAAAAAATCTCTACCAACTTGATACCGATCACATAACACACTGACAAATGTCCTTCTCTCAGCTTCAATACATGACATCAATAACTGAATCCTACTGTGATCTGATTGGCTCATTGCCAAAACAAGATGACACCTAATTGGCTTTCTAAACACTCATGCTCATTGGCTAACAATCAGATGATGGAAAGCTACCTGATATCAACCTAAGCAAGTTGTGCTTCCTTTTTCTGGTTATTTGGCTATAACTTTTCATAGAATACAGATAATTGAACAAACTTTGCTGCATTACATTCTTGATTAAATTATCTTTCTATAATTGTATAGTACTATTCAAAAAAAAGTGGTGTTATTAGCCATCAAACCTCAAAAATACACTTTTCCCAAATTAATTCAACTTCTCTTGGAATTTAGAGAATAGAGTGAAGATAAGTTATAAACAGGGGTCCCTATAAAAATGGCAATATAACCAGCAGTGTATGTCTTCTCATATATTGATATTGGACTGATTGGACTGCAGTTCCCTAGACCATCCTTATCATATTTTTGAAGAAAGGCATGCCTGTTCTCCAGGAATTTTCAAAGATAATTATATAAAAACTAACTGATAACTTGGCATTGCCCGGGCATTATTTTAATTATCCCAATCCTGTATTAGACAGGAAAATCTTGTAGTCTGGACTCATGCTGTTGTATTGTCTCTCGTGCAGCATCGCACGTCTTCTATTCCTCTCCTCGGGAGTTTCTTGCCTACTCTGGTGTTTCTTTTTTTTTTATTGCACTTGGCCAATTGCCTGACGTTTCTTTGGAGAGCTGGGAGGGAGTTCCTTTGTGGAGTACTTGAAGTCGTTACCATGGCAAGTCTACTGTGCTGTACAGTAGAAGTCATTTTAAGGCACACACCCTCTCCGAGAGGTGTTAGGGGTGTCTTACCCCCACAGTATTTGTTTCCAGAGGGTAAGTCATCTGTGTACCAACTTTGGTTGAAATTGCTCAAGGTGTTCCAGAGTTATTCGTGTGTGTGTGTGTAATAAAAATAAAAAATTCAGCCAGAACATTAACACATCCTATTAGTGCCTTAAAATGCATGAAAGATGTCCATGAAATTTGAACTCAATCAATATAAATGGTATTCCCTGACCCTATTTCTACCAACTTAATATGTCCCTTTGGTGTGCACAATTATTTGGTAGAATACCTATCTTATTTTTGAAGACTGACCAAAAATGGATCAATTATCCCTTTCTTTGTTACCTTTAAACTTGTGCCATCTTCACTGAACATGTGGCATACTTTTTCATTACTTTATTTTGAACATAATTAAAGAAGCCCCTTTTGTATCCTTTGCCAACCTTAATTCTTAAATATCATTTTTTAAAAACAATTTCTGCAGTTCTAACTTACCTGCTGTCTTGATTTCTTCTCTTTGTAAATTCTGTATGTATCTTTTAAAATTTGTTTTATTTATAGTCCCAAACACATCAGCGTATCTTCCCCCCCCCCAAATTTTTTGTTGCAGCCACATTGGCTTTTTCAGTATTCTGTTTTTCTCTTCTGTGAATTATTCGTTATCCTGCTTCTAGTACAGTGTGTTTTGTGTTTCTTTTCCCCTTAACTTTTTCTTGTGCAGAATGTTCCTTAGTATTACTTTATATTTAATTAAATTTGCTTTTCTAAAGCTAAAAATGGGATTTTGTTTATATCCAAGTCTAATTTAAAGTCAAGAACTCAGGCATTACATAATCAGTTTTCCCAACATTTCTGATATTTCCAATTCATTGATGCTACCATCTTCCATTAATGATAACTGATTTGAGCCTTCTACCACACTCTGGAGGATAAAGTTATCAGTAAGAGAGATCAGGGAGAATGCTGGAAGTGCTTTTTTCTTATCTTACTGGCCTCAGTTACTTCACTACAGCTCTTCTGAGTTCCAGACTCTTGTTTGTGTTGATTAGAGGAAACAGTAACATCTGGAGTTGTTTTAAGATAGGCAGCTATATTGAGGACTGGAATGATGGGAAGGAAAGGAAGGAAGAAAGAAAACAAGGAAAGGGAAAGGAGAAAGAAGGAAAGTTTTCCTCTGCCTTGTTATTCTAAAGTGGTTAGCACTACATGCTAATGTTGCTTTGAATTAATTATTTATCCAGATAATTACATTCAATCAGAAAGCAGAAAGTGTTGAATGGTGTTTATGAAATTAATTTTATTATTTGTCTATGCTGTGTGAAGCAGATTTCTAGTTCTAATTAGGGATATTATATTACAAACATCTGTGATCTTGTTTACTTTAGAGGCTTTGTAAAAAGAAAAAAAAATCCCATCAGTTACTCCATAAAATTCTTGATTTGGAGGATTTTGTAGCTCTTCTCCTAATCCTAATTGTATCTGCAAAAGATAAGGCCCAACTGAGATTCCAAAGTGCAGAAACCTGTGATATAGAATTCCTTTTCTGAAATTATAATTTATTAATTTGTGCTTAAATATTTAATACTATAATTGAAAGATTTGTCAGTTCATTTACTCAGTTAACATATAGCCTTACATTTTAGGGAACTAAATATAATCTGAAATTGATCATGGTTGCTTTCAGTGTTGTGTCATGGGCTTTGCTACATCTTTATGGATTCCACATTTACTATGAGAATGATTAATAATCAAGTATAGCTTTTTTTCCAAGAGTCAAAATCCTTAAAGACCAGACTCCTCAAAAACATTAAAGCATTAAAATGGAAGAAATACTGAAAATTGCAGCTTCTTGTTAAAGATTCTTGAAGTCAAGTTTCTGTGGCATTGTTTGGCATGGCAGCTCTATAATTTTGTACAGGCTGAGAGGAAGAACTCACATGGAAAAGCCAGCGTTATTGTGATCCCAGTGCCTTGAATTTTTATACAGTATGTTGGTGATGGGAAGCTATTTCAGTCTTGGTGCCAGAAGCACAATACTGTACTTGCTGAATAGGCATCCTTGGAGGATAATAGCCGAGTAAGACATATTGCATCTTGAATTGCAGAGAAGAGAGAAGTTTATATTATCCACAAATACCATAAACCAGGCACAGAAGACTTTCTGACTTGATTGCCCTGTAATTGAGTTTGTTTAAGGGATCTTCTCGGTAGTCTTTCTGTAGAAATAAAGAAAAATAGAGAAATAAAGAGAAATAAAGCCTGGTATTCTGGAGAAACCTGGCAAAAGCAAGAAAGAGAAACCTCAAGAAAAATATTGGCTACCACAAAATAGGGGACAGGGTAAATTGTATGTATAAAGTATATTTTAAACCTGATTTTCCATATTTAAACTACATTCTAAAGATTGTAAAAGCCATCTTTTTTAGTACTATGCTAAATTTTATTCTTCAGATTTTTTATTTATTGTTTTGAAAACAACGACGGAGAAACAGAAAAAAGTGAAACCCAAAAATAAAAATACACCGTTGAAGAAAAAAACATACATAGATATATATATATATTTAGAAAAACAGTCAAAAAAATACAAAGAAAAAAGAAAACTATATTACTTCTAGCTTTCTGTAACTCCACCCCCTCCCCCCCTTTATCCATTTCAAAAGTATTTTGCTATACAGGATGAAAAACTGCAATTTGAATTAAGTACTTTGATAATACATACTCAGCTGGCATTGTTACTTGTAATTATTGTATGTCAATATGAAGATTTGGTTTAGTTTGAAATATGCTTATGTTCTTTAATTACTGTTTCTTATTACAGTCAACCCCATTACATTTGGCGGCAGGATATAACAGAGTTCGTATAGTCCAGCTTTTACTTCAGCATGGTGCTGATGTCCATGCAAAAGACAAAGGGTATGTCAAATTGTACAATTTGGTTTTGATAGTGCTAATATGATGTAAGGTGGAAAGCACTTTTTCATAATGACACTCACAGATTCATAGGTACTATTTTGAGGCCAGGCAAAACTCTTCCCTCCCCCCTAAATCATTTAAAACTGGTTGCTTTTGTTTAATTTTTGTGAATATTTGTAATTTCTGTTTCCTTCTGTGATTTTTATATTTTATTTTTGCTTTCCATCTTATGGTAGCGTATTTTATTGCAATGTATATTTGCATGAGCAATATTCTGTGAGCCATTCAGATGAATCTAAGCATGATTATCAGTAAAAATAAGATAGTGATTTGAGTAAAAGTGGAATAGCATTGTTGGGCAAATTCATGGGAGCAAATCATATATATCCATGTTGCAACTATCTCAGAGTTCCCCAACATTTCCAGCTTTGCAGACCGTTGGGTGGGGAGGGGGGATGGTTCCATGTGAGTGGCTGGGAAGTGTGTGCGCAGCTCCATTTGCACGAGCAGCATGCCTATGTTATTCATGCAAGTGAGGGCGTGTGTGTGCATGTGCACTTGCCAGCTGTTTCTGCAGACCAGTTGCAAACCTCTTGCAGCCCACTAGTGGGCTGTGGCCTACCCACCGGCCAGGGACCCCTGCACTATCTCATATAAGATCTGGAATGTCCACATAGTAGTCTTTCCCCCATATTTAGATGCTAATTAAAATATAACATTTGTTTGTGGCCCAGATACAGGGAAATATTTAGACAGTAACTGTCACTCCTCTGTAATTTATGACAGCAAGGTCATGACAGGGCATTGGACTTGATGACCTCTTGGACCTCTTCCAATTGATTTTAGCCTATTTGTTTGATTTAAAATATTCAGTTGTAGCTGTAAATTTGCTATCTTCTCTGTGAATGGCATGGATAGTCTCAGTTTTAAGGTTCTGTTGTATTTGTCAACTTATTACGGAAGCAATGAATCCTTGAATGAGCTTAACTTTTTTCTGCAGTCTTCAAATGTATGTATTCTTGGAAGGCATGTTATATAGTTCATGTAAGACTGAAGCATTTTTTTTTAACCTAACTGGTTTGAGCTGTAGGAAGTTAGCACTCACCCCTCTCCTAGAAAATTGAACTATCCTAGGAAATATTAAAAAGGCAGAATATTTCCTCTAAAAAGAGTAGAAACTCAGAAGCAGTAACTCACCTCAGAAGTAGAAGCTCACCCCCACCTTTGTTAATGGGTGGGCCATTAAGGCCTGGGCCAGAATACTTTACATAACAAAGATCTCCAAGTAAATCTATAGCAATTGCTTAAAAGCCCTTTCAGTGCATCATCATCATCATCATCCAGCAAGGCTCAACCAAGCCTGGAACTCAGGACAGCCTATAGAGTTGCTCTTGCATGGCCTCATGGGAGTCTGACAACCAATCGGAATACAAGCTCCAATTCAAATCCCAACAAAAGTTATAAAACCCAGGCACTCTCAGCACCTCAGCCCTTTTTTCTTGATCTCTTCCTTCACCTTGAAGCATGTGATCATCCTTCCTTTTCACTCTGGAGCTCCAGGCCATGTGGTCCTCTTGTCTACCATTAAACCTTCCAAGCATCCTCCATGTTTCCAGTGTCTTTTTACCCACTTGGAACTGAACCCAGAAGGATATTTCTTTCAACAGCTTTTTCCAACAAGCAAATCATATATCACTTTTAGATGGAATATCGCTATTCTAACTTTTGTTTGAAACTGGTTCATGAACTTTGGCTTATTTTATTCGTGGTTTTTATGTCTGAAATTCTCAGTGGAATAAAAATATAAAAATGAGGAAATACTCATTTTACTCAATATGTAAAACATGTCCTTTAATGAAATGTAACTGTATATACACACAGCAGTAAAATAAACAATAAGCCCAAAATAAAGAAAAACAAAAGAACCCCTAGAAAGATACCATCCCTACATTTATGCAGGCAGGAAACATTAGAACTGTGCAAAGCTTTAAAAAGAAATAATTTGACAAATGCTTTAGCACAAGAAAAATATTAAAGCAGATAGAATATATGGTGCAGTGTAGTGAAGAATTAATTTGCTGAATAGTTAAACAATATTTTTTTTCTTTGTTATAGTGGACTTGTGCCTCTACACAACGCATGTTCCTATGGACATTATGAAGTTACAGAATTGCTATTGAAGGTGGATAAGTTAATAATTATGTAATTATATAAAGATTGTCATTAATGCGAAGGGTTTTATTCTGTTTACAAATTATAGGTTGTATTGCATGTGAGATAATTTGTATGCCTTTGTGATGTTGATAAAGAAAATATTTTAGAGACCTCCCTTTTCAGTATTTTTTTTTAAAAGGCTGCTTCTTATTTGAAATAATTCATCACTATAAAAAACATTTAAAGCTGTCACCAATTTTGCTAAATTATCCCCAAAACACCTCCTTTATTCCAGTCTAATTTTACTAAGTCAAATAAGATTACATTCCTATTCTATTTTTCTCATCTATATTGTAGAACAGATTTATTTAGAAAATTTACATGGCTGCCTAACTTAAGTGAATAACTATTAAAAACAAGAATGAAATTAAATGGAATATAAAGGTATTTTGCAAGTAACTTACAGCTTCTGAAACACACATAGTGGATTTCTTTAGCAGACATAAATAATCCCTGAAAGAAATGCCAGGCTTTGATGGCCTTTTGCAACCCAGCAAGTCAGGGGCATCCAATTTTTGAGTAGGAGTGGAGAGGAAGTGAAGGGGGCTGTTTCATTGGGCAGGCACTATGAAGCAAAGGCATGTCTCCTGAATCCCACAAGATGGCACTGTTTCATAGAATAGGCACTACGGTACTCGCCCCAAGCCAGTGATCGGGTTTGTATTATTTCAAGTAGAGAACTAAACAAAGGAGTTTCAAGTGCTATTATACCAAGATTTATTGTAATTGATCTGTTATACCAGTTTTTGTAAACAAATCTCATGTGTTAATCTCACTCTTTCGATGTCAAGTAGAATACATTTGTTCAGCTAATGAAATGAAATGATTAAATGACTTCATATATGTTAGAAATTCTAATATGATTTCCCTCACAGACAGTTAATCCAACCTTGTGTATTTAAAACTAAAAAAATAATAATTATAATATTGATGCAACATAAAATGCCTGTTGCCTTTTCCTCCTGTTACATTTGTTCCTTAGCATGGAGCCTGTGTTAATGCAATGGATCTCTGGCAGTTTACTCCATTACATGAAGCCGCTTCCAAGAATCGTGTGGAGGTTTGTTCTCTGTTACTCAGCCATGGTGCAGATCCAACATTAGTCAACTGCCATGGCAAGAGTGCTGTTGATATGGCACCGACACCTGAGCTCAAAGAGAGGCTCACCTGTAAGTATGACTAAGTGCAAGTTGTTATCATTCTCAGCAAGACTACAGAATTCATTCTTTTCTACAGTATTAAAAATGATACTCTGTTCTTTTAAAGTAAGGCTGATATGGTATCTCAGCCTTCAGTTGATGAATTTTTTGTACCATCTGAGAAATTTAAAGGATTTATGCTTATGTATTTTATTTCATCTTATTTATTAATCTAAATTTATTTATGTGGCTGCCCATCTTAGTACTGTGACTCCAGGGGGCTACCAGAAATTTAAAAAATACATATCAGGACCAACTAAAGCATAGAGTGACTACCAAAGATATCACATACCTGCAGTATTGGCTGAATTGCTTGCTCAACTCCTATGCCCAAGAAAACAGCCTGGTCTCCAAGACTTTCCTAAAAGTGAGCACAGTCAGGACCTTATCTGTTACAGAACTAAGGTTTTAATTTTTAGCATAACTCCCCATCACCATCACTTCCTCATTATTGGGAGCAATAAAACTTACGAAACGAATGCCTAGGAACTTTGTGGAACTTAAGATGTCTTTGGCCCAACTTTGCGGTGCCACATTGTTCAGTCATTGCTAAAAGGAAGCCTATCAGTATGAGTGTTAGCATTGTTCGGCCTAATGTTTTCAGAAGTGCTATTGTTTCAGATACTAATATTTATAGATATCATAACTAGTAATCATTGAAAACATTAATTTTCCATGAATTTGACCTTCCATACTTTTCCAGCTGACTCATTTAGGTATCGCTACATATCTGTGTGACAATTTCCATAATTTCCTAAAGTTCCGAGTCCGGTCATACTTCTTTTTGTCAGTCTTGTATATCCTGCTCTTGGTGATCCATTTCTATTGTTGATTTTTCCACACAGTACATAATTGTGTATATTAATGTTATCGCCTTCATATCTTGTTTATAATTTCCATCTTTTCTGGTCTAAACACTCCCAAATGGGAAAAAAAAATGCTGATAGGATAGTTCCACCATCCTTTCGATTATCTGCTTCCTTTACATATACTAAACCCTCTACTCATTTAGCAACCATATTCCAATGACTTGGGCATTAAGCGAAATGATCACTAAGTGATTGAAAGAGAGAAAAACACTCTGAAGATCATTAGTTGCTGCAGTTTCTCTCAGATAAAGTTCTCTTATACAATATCCATGTTTCCCCTTTGGTCAGAAAGTGATTTTTAATATCATTTATTACTGTATTTTTATTATTGGACCTACTATTTTTGTGTTGCAAATGGTTGCTAAACAAAGTAGCCACTAAATGAGGAATGGCTTTATTTAACACTCTGAAAGCTGTTTTTGAAATGTTGTCAACTTGAATTATATGTACCATATTTTAAATATGACCATGGAATGGAATGGAATGGAATTCTTTTATTGGCCAAGTGTGATTGGACACACAAGGAATATGCCTTGGTGCAAATGCTCTCTGTATACATAAAAGAAAAGATACATTCATCAAGAGTCAAGAATCATAAGGTACAACACTTAATAATAGTCATAGGGTACAATAAGCAATCAAATCAAAGTAGGAAATAGTCCATATAAATTGTAAGGATACAAGTGACAAAGTTACAGTCATACAGTCACAAGTGGGAGGGGATGGGTGATAAGGAGTGATGAGATTATTAGTAATAGTAATGCAGACTTTGTAAATAGTTGGACAGTGTTGAGGAAATTATTTGTTTTGAAGAGTGATGGCGTTTGGGAAAAAACTGTCCTTGTGTCTGGTTGTTCTGGTGTGCAGTGCTCTATAGCGTCGTTTTGAGGGAAGGAGTTGAAACAGTTTATGTCCGGGATGTGAGGGGTCTGTAAATATTAGAGAGCATTTCACTGAGGCAGCCGTCGTCGTCGCCATCTTGGATCAAGACATATTTGTACCATAGTTTTTATTTTCATTTTTGTCCTAATGAATTCCCAATGTGGGATTTGCCTTTTTCATAGTTTAGCACACTGAATTTTAATTGAGTCGTTTACTACAGTCTCAAGATTCTTTTCTAGATTAGAGATTCAGTCTAACCTCAGTCAGGTTATATGTGAAGATGTTATATTTTTTTCTTTCTTTTTGGTGTTTGCACAACCTGAGCCACATTTGCAATTTTAATATCTCTCTGTTTTAAAATTCTTTGTTTTGACTACCTTATTTATTTGGTGATGTCAAAAGAATTGAAATCTCCTTCAGAGACTTATCAGAGAAACTGTATCTGCAGTAATGTTATTTTGCACTGAAAACTATTTTGATTAAAAACTGCCTTTACCTCTTAAATCATGGATGCTTTTCTGTCTTTCAGAAGCATTACTTGAGAGAATATAGTGGGACAGTCCACTAGAGAATTTTTCCCTTCTACATTATTTTTCTGCAACACTGTTGTAAATCTGGTTTTACAACAGACATTTACCACCCATAACTATGTTTTTCCCCTTCTGCAGATGAATTCAAAGGACATTCCTTATTACAAGCAGCAAGGGAAGCTGATTTAGCCAAAGTCAAGAAAACACTTGCCTTGGAGGTCATTAATTTTAAGCAGCCACAATCTCATGAGACAGCACTGGTGAGATCATGGAGTCACTTTTCTTGCTTTAGCTGTGTATACATTTAAGATTTTCTGGTACAATCATACCAATAGTTTACAAAGAGTTTCACCTATTAGAAGTTAATGCTTGACCTGCTATTGATTTAATGCCATATTCAGAAAAAAATCTGTTCCATTAACCCATTTTTTTTTCTTTTTTCTCTGAAATGTATTGTACAGTCTGTTCAATGTTTTATGTCTTCTGTGAAAGCAATCTTTTAAAATGTAATCACACTATAATTAACATATTGGAATAGTGTTGAGGAAATTCAAGTGTAAGGCTACCTTTGGCTAAGGAAATTCATTGGGCAGTTTGAGACCACTCATCCTCCTTGCACAAACTACTACTATGAGATTTTGTTAAGGAAATCTTGCCAGGAACCTATAGTCATTTGAAGAATAAGTGGGATAAAAACATAATGTTGTTGTTATAATTGGTGGAAGTAATGGTAGAGAAACTTATCTCTTTACATATTTTATTAGTTCTTTGATTCAGTGCACGAAAAAAGGAAGGAGCTGAAATGAATATTTTACCTCTCATTCTTTCTCAATTGCAAATATGGTAAATCCTGATTGAAATCTTGCTCCCTCAGATTAGCTCCTTTACAGAAAAAATATAAATAAAGCCAGTCAAGGTAGTAAGTATTAGTCCTATTCTAATTTGTTCATAATGCTTCTGAGGACTGCTAGAAACTTGCTGACTAAGTGTATATGCGGTTTTGGTGTTTGTTCTCTTGTGCTTATTTCAATTTTTGGATTTTGCTGCTGGTATAGATATCAATAGAAAGATCTGCTACTTGAAACATGCAAGCCAGGCTGAAATCAACCAAGGATATTTAATGAAGGGACTGAAAAAGATTTGTTCACATGGCTCATGTGGTACTAATGTTTGAGGAAAGAAAATAGACAGCTTAGAATAGGGGAGATCACGTAAATTATGCTTTACTAGTGCCATCCTCTTAAATTACATGAACATAATTTTATTTTGTTAATGTATTTATTTATTAAATTTCCATGCTAGTCATCTCACTAACACAGCAACTCCCAATGGCTTACATTTTATTATATTATATACTACCTTGTATTACAATCTTCTCATTATACAATGCTGTCTCTTTTGTAGCACTGTGCTGTGTCCTCTCTTCACCCTAAACGGAAACAAGTCACTGAATTACTGCTTCGGAAAGGAGCCAATGTCAATGAAAAAAATAAGGAGTATGTTTATTCTTTGAAATTATAATATTTGCATTTAGATGGATCAGGCAAGCTTTGAGAGCTCTTAATCTTGTCTCTTTTCCAATCTAGTTTCATGACTCCTTTGCATGTGGCTGCTGAACGAGCACACAATGACGTTATGGAAGTTCTACATAAGCATGGTGCAAAGGTAAATATTGTTCTGTATTTTAAGTAATGCAGTGGATGGGAAGAGTAGTCTTGTGTGTGATCTCTCGTGTAATAAACAGCTATAAGTCCTGCTTATTCTAATAGTAACATGGATACCTCTGGTCCCGGAGACTGACCCAGATTGGATCCAGTAACATGGATAGCTGATTCGTCTTGTTCCTAACAGAATTTGAATAGATGAACTTTGGAAATATTATATTGTATCAGATTTATATGATCAGATTTATTTGTCATATTTGTTTCTGAAATCTTCTATAAACTTCTAGAGACGTGGGGGGGTTTTTTTGGGTGGGGTCTTTAATTTTATTCATCTCCACTTGATACAGAGTTATGATAATAGAAGTCTGTTTTGACTTAAAAGAATTCAGATAAAACATTTTCTTTTATTTTTCTGCTAAATTCATTCATAATACATTAGATTTAATAAACAAAATCCTATGATTATTTTCCTGATGTTGCCATAGCAGTGTTTGATTACAATAATATAGAAAGAGTAATAGTACATCTTCATCACAGATGCTAATCTGCTTCCATTGCTGACATTGTTCTGCCTTTCTGTTTTAATCAAGCAGTATGCTAAGTAAATGCTAATTAAATAGTTGGGATCGTGACTTTAAAAAAAAAGGAATTTGTGGCTGTAATTCTCACTGTGAAGGTTATTATCCATTTCCTTTTAATACGTTTTAAGTGAAATTCAATAAATTAATCAGTAGTCAATATTTCAAAGTCAAATATATTCCTAATATCTGGTATATGTCTGCAACTCCTGCCATTCTTCATAACTTGGAAAATATGCAGAAGCTACTGCATTTATATGCCTATGTAGAGTGAAGTACCTTTAAATCTTAAGTCTTGTCCAGCCCTATTAGTCAATAAATGGTTATTTATTCTGTTAGGTACTTGGGACAACATATTAGAAAATAATATTTTTATTCAGTTAATGAGTGGATTTTTAGAGAAATGCATCAGTTTATCATATTTATAGATGTATCATTCAGAGGAATTATATATCATTCCATTTATCAATTGTTAACCAGGTATAGGCTTGCTAATAATTCTTTCTAATTGAATAATTTAATTTGAGGGTTTAAATTGTCATTAGATATATGGATGCTGTAATTGCATTAATGTAAGCATAGGAAAAAACATTTCACAACATCCCCTATTTTATGTGCTCCTAAATTTTTTCAATCTTTTCTGGAAAGCTGACTTACTCACAAGCTACACTTCCAGTATGTTCAGATTACTATTTGAGATTATATATAAAGTTTGAGTGAGATGCATCAGGATCTAGTGATGATATCTAGCCAACAAGATATTAGAGAACTCACAGGTCTTGTGATAACCCTTAGCTCTACTATTCAAAGTAATGTGTTTAGCTAAGATTACAATTCTTAGACAGTTTACTATGCATGAGATTATGAAAGTAAAACTGTTACCTTGGATTATAAATCAAGGAAGAAAATGCACAATTCAGCAGTGCCCAGGATGTTTGCAGTTCGCATATAAAATAAATGTATCTGTCTATCCAATATTACAGCTTGTTAGAGTTTAACTTCAACAATGCTTTAACTGTGTGTAAGACAGGTGCACTATAATTTAGGCATATATTATACAAGTGCTATTCTCCAGCTTTCTGTTGTAGAACATTGTTTTAAGCCGGTTCTATAGGACCATAAAATACTTTGATATAGACATTTGCAAGTGTACTGGATTTCTAAGCAGCTGTTCCGTTTTTCTATTTTTCTGCAGGGAAGCATTTTAGGAAAGATTCTTTGCACTTATTTAAATGGAAAAATGGTTCTGTAATTGTGCATTCAGGTTGTTAATTATAATGCATTTCCCAAGTGAGCTTCTTGCTGATTGAGTACTATGTCTAGCCACAGAATATTTAACTGATGATAGTGAATTTTTAGTTTATAGTCTCATTAATATAAAAAATCACAAAATTGGTTCACTGTGTGCCAAGTACAGATATAGTAAAACCAATTCAAATAGTCATAAAATCTAGTAATGAAAATACAACAATATTTTTAAGATTGGAAGAATATCATATATTTTAAAAAGCTGGGCAAATTAGAACTTTGCTTAATGCCAAAATGACAGTCTGGTGCAGTCACATGATGCCTCAACCTATGACCATAATTCTGAGCTCTATTATGGCATTAAGTCAAGGACTACCTGTAAAGGAAGTAGTCCACATACAGGCACTTTTTTTGCATCCAGACACTATGTTACCTGCATGCTTGCTTATTATTGGCTATGGGAAGCAGTAAAACAAAGTTAATTTTGCACAAATGAGGTAAGATGAAACTTATTGATGTATAAATATTGGAGTGGAAAGGAGAAATTACACCTTGAGCCCTAGTGAGGATATGCACATTTTTCATCTTAGCAGAGGTTGAGATAACCTAATGCCAATATCACTCCCAAAACATGGAACAGTGCTTTTACATATTAGGAAGTCAGATTTCATTCTTTTTACACTAATAGGAACTTGAAATTGTGATGTAAGATATCTAGTGTTTTGCCATTGTTACTTGGTTAGCTTTAATAAGGTCACATTAAATTTCTGATGGGATGTTGCAATATATACGGAGAATTGTGCATTGTTCTTTATACCTTGCTCCTTAGATAACTATCAGTCATTTTCTATTATCTTCTCTTCAGTATCCAAAGGAAGTTTCCAGTACAACTTCTTGTCATATATCTGAGGAGAAAATACTTGAGAATTGATCTTTATATCCTCATCTCTAGAAAACAAATAATCTGGAAACTGTTATTCCACTGCTGTACATATTATTCATGTTTCCCCTTAGATGAATGCACTGGACACACTTGGACAGACTCCTTTGCACAGGGCTGCTTTGGCAGGTCACTTGCAGACATGTCGCCTCCTGTTGAATTATGGCTCCGATCCCTCTATCATCTCCCTACAAGGTTTCACAGCAGCACAAATGGGCAATGAAGCAGTGCAGCAGATACTGAATGGTAGGTATTTTCGTTGCTTGACAACTGAAGGATAATTTTGGTTTTCAGAAGAAAGTCTGGTTTTAATTTTAGATTTTTGAAATTCATTTTGATTATCTTGCTCTGCAGTTCTGCAAAATTATTAGCAATTTAAAAGTGTGAAAAAATAACTTTAAAAATATGAGTCAGTTGATGGGCCTTAATTTCTCTTTTCATAAATCTGCTTATGTCCCTCAGCTTTTATTAAGCCACAAAATAACATGAAAAATCTGTACAAAAAATGGGCAGGGTCGTTTCCTACTGCTCACTATTTTCTGCTACATAAACCTAGTGGGACTTAATTTCTCTTTTTCGTAAACCTGCTCATGTCTCTCATCTTTTATTATTTAATAACAAAATAACAATAAACATCTGGATAGAAAATGTGTGTGTCTGTTTCCTACAGCTTGCTATTTCCAGCTATTGTCCTTTTTAAATGCCTGGTTCTGATTATATGATAGAGGGATAAAAAAAAAACAGACAATCAAACGAACTGTTTTGCTCTTAAGATTATTACAGAAACAGAGCTGAGAATTTTTTTTTCTCGACCAGGGGCCCCCAATTCCTGGGCCGCAGCCCACTACCAGCTGTGAGCTGTTTGCAACCAGGCCGTGTGAGTGGCGAGCCATCGCTCGTGCAGCCTGGTTTCCCCCTTCCCCCTCTCCCAGCCGAGCCACCAAGCTGCAAAGTTGTGAGGGGGCTCTGTTCTAGACGGCATGTTAAGCATGTAGTGATGCATTTAATCATGTTTTTATTTGGAATTAGAGGCCTTGTTGATTACATTTGGATGGTCCTGTTGTGGTTATTATTGCACTGTTTTATTTACCTTAAGAAAATGGAAGTCCTAAGAAAAAGGAAACAGACCACCTATATTACATCTTTCAATAAAATGTGTATTCAAACAACTTTATCAAAAAGTGCTTCACCATTCAGCCCACTTCAGCACAACTGACACAAGCTATGAAAAAGATAAAATTGTTAGATATCAAAGACATTTCAGAAACAACCAACAGACTATTCCCAACACATGGCATCACCGTAGCACAGAAACCAACCAACCATTGCTCTCCAAAACATCTGAAGTAACCCTAAAGACCTGGTAGCCCAAAAACGGAAAAAAGGACGTCTACAATACACTATGTAGGATATCTGGGTTGAAGACTAGCAGAACACATCCATGAACACCAACTAGCAGTCAGAAGACACAATGAAAAAATCTCACACACATGGTTAAATTCAACCATAGTTTCAACTGAGAAATCATAAGCATAACTAAACCAAATTAAATCTAAAATGCTAGAGAATTCCTGCATGTTTGACATTCAGACAAATCTGCCATCAAAAGGCATATATCGGTAAACCACATTTACAGACTGTTCAAAAGGGACAATAAAAAGCTAAGAAGGAAACAAAAAAGACCAGAACACATCTTTTCCAACATCCAACAAGGATTAACACCAGACAATCAAGCAATAAACAATACCCTAATTAAGGAACTACGAAGGAGAAAACCACATCTGCACCAATACTGGCAGGCCAAACTACAGAAAGCAAAACTCCCACTCACTAGCACTGAAGATTTTACCTAGTCAGATAATGAACCTTTCTTAGCACCACAGTTCAACCCTGAGCTACATATGTTCCCTTCTGTTGGAATCAGTAAAAAGAATTCAAAGTAAAAGTGATTCAGCTTAATTGGGATGAAAGAAGTGAATGAATTTAATTACTTCTTGTCACCAAGCAGGTCAGGGTGGGGTTATTGTGTTTACTCTTTCTATATTGGGTTTTTATTTTTTGGAAGCTGCCTGGAGTCACTGAAAGTGAATGGGCAGCCATATAAATTCTCTAAATAAAACAACAGTTTTCTTCCGGGTCAGATTCAAGGTGCTCAGTTTAACCTTTAAAACACTTCATGACATGGGATTGGGCTATCTGACGGACTGCCTCTCCCTGGTTATATCAGCCTGCCTCATTAGATCTGACAGAGAGGCATGCTGTAGACACCACCAACTGTGAACCTGCATTTGTTGTGTCCCAGGAGATGTGGTTTCTGCGATGTGACACCTGCCTTATGGAACATTCTTCCTCCTGAAATTAGATTAGTTCCATCCCTTTTGCCATACTAGAAGGCCGTCAACACCTGGTTTTGTTAACCTGTGGGTCCTGAGGAACTACAGACATGCTTAGATGCTAAGCTGGTTATTCTTATCCTCTCTTTGCCTAGGATTTATGAATATGCTTTTAATAAAATTTACTTTTTAAAATAATTTGTATATTTTTTTATGCGTTGTTTTACCCATTTATTATACTGTACATAGACTAGAGTCACCTTAGGTGAAATGGGTGACTGTAAATTAGATAAATAAAATAGCAGGAGGAATATTTTAGAGTTTTGAAAGTATAATTGTGCTATTTCAAAGAATAAAACTGAACAAGTGATAAATTTTTGGAAAAATATATATTACAAAGTCATAATTGCTGTAAGAATGTTGAAAATTGGTAAGTTGTAATTATAGATATTAACTATAACTGGATAAATATTAAAATATGAATGAGCTTGTCTTACAAAGAGACCCTGGTATATTAGTATGCATATGTGAAGAATGTGTCTGTGTCTGACAATTAGAAGAATGTGATTCTTGTTTCACTATACAGAGGAAAAAGTGTGAATGCAAAAACTACAGGAGATTAGTTTATGTTTGGGAAGTATTTGGTAGAGTGCAAGAGGTGCTAATGAATAAAAATTGAGAAGTGCAATGTGTAAATCTCCAATTTACATATTTTCCTACAGGTTTAGTACAATGCTGCTGTTGTAAACTAGATTTAATTACATTTCCTTCTTTTTTTTCAAATGTCATGTCCTTCATTTCTTAAGTTGCTGTTATCCATCTGAAAAGGAGTGGTATGGTTGGTGCATATATATGCGTATAGAGTTAAGTGTTTTAAGTATTAGTATGTTCGCACTATTAAGTCCTTTAAATGATACTTTGATCTACAATATTGGGTCTGATGCAAAGACCATGAATTTATTATGCATGGGATGAGATTTGAACAGTGAAGGTTTATATTTGTAGCTCAGTCATAATCACAATGCTAGAAAGAATATGCTGTTATTCTGAGCATTAATAATAGTTTCTAACATGAAAATGTCCTATAAAGCCACAATGTTTACTGATTTTTTTCATCTTTAAATAGAAAATACTCCAGTACATACTTCTGATGTAGATTATAGACTGTTGGAAGCATCTAAAGCTGGAGATTTAGAAACTGTAAAGGTATGTTGGAATTTAAGGATTATAAAAAATTTAAGATAAATATGGCTATTTTAAATACAGCGAGGAATTTTTTTTTTTTACAATGATAGTCTGCAGTGGCCATTGGACTTACATGCTTCTGTCCTACAATTTCTAGGTTGTTAGAATTTTTTAAATTTGTTCTTTTCATTAACGCTAATTAGTATTGCATTTCTGCCTTAATTGTGCTTAACTATTAGTTTAAGTTAGGTTTTTTAAAGCAGAAATAATTAAATGCAACACCTTGGAATAAAATGATAAACTATAATGAATGAAAACAGGAAAATCAAGCTTAGAAGAGAGAATAATATTTTGTGCTAAAGCAGTCTTTGACATTAAATATATATGTAGTAGTTAATATTGTGAAAAGTAATACTGGGTTTGAAACTTTCCTAACTGAAAAATATCCTACTCTTGAATAAATGCTATTTAATTGAAGCTGAAATAGAACCATGAAACATTTATTTTTAGTAAATTAAATTTTCTTTTCAATGTAATAAAATATAGAATTATATTACACATTATTCTTTTAAATCAGATCCATAGCTGTATAGAAATCATTTTCTGTAATAGTACCCCATATATTTATGAGGTATTCTGCTTCCATATTTGGACACTTTTCTGACCATATTAGCCGTATTTCACCATTCGGGACAATTCTACACCTCCCTACTGCTCTCAGATACCAATTTGGCTTCAATATACAATGTTGCCCGATTCTGTACAGCAAATTTAAAATATGCCAGAAGATGAAATATGCCCCAAATCAGTTTTATTATAGTGTGTTTTGTATTCGATTTGTGATATTATTTGTTTAGATATATTTTATATTATTCGTTTAAATAGATTTAGTTTGCCATGTTTTTTATGTCCATGCATTGCTTTTAACCCTCCTGTTAGGTCATCAGTGGAACTACAGATTTTAAATAGTTTTCTATAAAACTCAAATAATTAATTTTTCTTAGTAAAAATAAAAGATGACATATTGGATTTCTACTTCTTTGTATTTGTGTCAAATTCGAAAGTGCTATATTAGCTTCTCATTATTGGATTTTTATTTTTGGAAAATAACCTATATGGAATCTTAGTTATTTTATTGTAAGATAACCTGCAGCCAGAGACTTAGTTGTTTTTTATATTGTCTGGAGATCTTTATTATTCTTGCTATAATGTCTTGAGGTGTGGAAGACCATTTAAAATGTCTGTGGTGAATTCTACTGTGCATGTTTTCCTTTCTCATTTTTACACAGCAACTTTGCAGTCCTCAGAATGTGAATTGTAGAGACTTGGAGGGACGTCATTCAACCCCATTGCACTTTGCTGCAGGTTATAATCGAGTTTCAGTAGTTGAATACTTGCTTCATCATGGAGCAGATGTACATGCAAAGGATAAGGGGTAATTGAGACCATGCAATTTACTGTTTTATGTATGGGTACAATGAACTCTTTTCTCATCTTTGGAAAACTTCCTTAGTCCACCTCACCTTATTAAATACATTATTTTCTTCCCTACAGAGACAAATCAATTACAATTTGGTATACTAGTTCCAGCAATGTCTGCTCATTAAAACCTTGGTCAAATTCAAGCAGATGATCAAGATATCTAATCTGACAGAGCCAGTATCTATGAGAGCCGTTTCTAGCCTAGTTAAGGCAACAGGCTAGAAACCAGGAGATTGTGAATTCTAGTTCCAAAGTTGGGGTGGTGATTTTGGACCAGTCACACTCTCTCAGCCCAGCTTACTTCATAGGATTGTTGTTATGGGGAAAATAGGATGAAGAAGAAGTATTAGATGTCTTCATCACTTTGAATTATTTATAAAATTTGTAAAGGTGGGATAAAAAATAAATAATAAAATTTACCATCTGTGCTGTGGTGCAATTTCCCTTTCATCCTGGACTATCTCTAGATACTTTTTAAACATTTTATAAAACCTACATTTTATGTCTTCCTGGCACAAATTCATGCTGTTCCCATTAAGGGGACAATTGGCAGATATACTGGCCTTCCGGTGCTTGCTTCCTAGAAAAAGAAAAACAGTAGCTTAAATTCACATCTGTTTAATCTTGTTCAGTATTAATGTGTGCAGAAACTGAGATTGCTGTCTCTCCATCTTGGTCATTGCAGCTTTATCCTTGCAGTGGTATCATTAGATTATTGCCACATTTCTCACAGTTGTTGATTCTACTGTCCTGTAAAGTGAGTTCCTGGATGTAGACAGTTGATAACCTCAATTAAAATAACCTGACTAAAATAGAAAAGTAAGATGGCAGTTATTTTGAAGGATAACTATTTTTTTGCTTTTAGATCTTGATAAATACTCTTAATTTTGTTTAACTTATCAGTGGATTAGTGCCTCTACATAATGCTTGTTCATATGGACACTATGAAGTTGCAGAGTTATTAGTACGACATGGAGCTTCTGTCAATGTTGCTGATTTATGGAAGTTTACACCGCTACATGAAGCAGCAGCAAAGGGAAAATATGAAATCTGCAAGCTCCTTCTCAAAGTATGTGCTTTATTTATTTTTTGCAAACAGTCTTTGTTTACTTCAGACCGTGACGCGTAATAACATAGGCAGCAACACTGTGTAATTTTCTTCAGAATAGAACTCTACTTAGGATAATAATAAACAGTTATATTGTTTTTTAAGGGAGGCATTGTACTCTAAATTTAGATTGCTTTATAACTACAAATTGAAATATCTCTGCAAAGGAATTGTTTGCATGTGCGCTGAGCAGTACAGTCAATCATCTGCATAATGCTGGTTTGTAATCTGCTGCAAAACTATTAGTAACAATTAGGACGCAATGCTGTCTGTAATTTTTTTTTGTAAATTTTATTTGAGTTTTCACAAAAAGAAAAGAAATACAATTAAAACATCTTTTTTGAAAGCAGCATAATCCTGGGTTACATTTCTTTGTACAGACGCAAATTCAAGTTCATGCTCATTTTTATATTCTATTCCATATCTTATTACTATTTTACATTTTCTACATGGCTTCTCTCCTCTTTTAATTTCCTCAATTTTATTTTATTTATTTCATCTCAATTCAAATCATTATATTTATATTTTTTGTCTGTCCTGTTTCAATTGTCTATTATCTTTTCTCATTAAACAAAATTTCTCCTGTAGTTACTGATTGGAGTATGACGCCTTTATATCTTTCCCCTAAAGTTATAACACTCAATATAATACATAACTTCCATTCGGATTCTGCTTGGTACATTCTTAAACTACACACAGTATTCTTGAACAAAAAAAAAATTATAAATGTAAATAATTAAAACAACATTCCATTCCAATTCAATTCTATCATTAATATTAATATTCATTAAAGTCTTAACATTTTTCACGTTACTTTTCAATTAAATATCATACTACTTTGGAAACAATGTATGATTAAAATGAGGGATCAAATAGTATAATTTAGTGAAATGTTTGTTAATAAAATAAGTGAAATAAAATAAATGAGAAAATTGAATTAGGAAGGAACGGGAACATTTTAATTAGTTAATGTTTTATAAAATATAAGTGAAGAGGGGGAGGAATTAATTATGGAAAGCTTATAATTGTTCCCATAGAAGTATGATATTTAATTGAAAAGTAATGTTAAAGAAGTTAAGATTTTAATGAATATTAATATTAATAATAGAATTGAATTGGAATGGAATGTGTTGTTTTAATTACATACATTTATAATTTTTTCTTTTTTAAAGAATATATTGTGTATTTTAAGAATGTAGCAAGCAGAATCCGAATGGAAGTTATGTATTATATTGAGTGTTATAACTTTACGGTATATATTGAAGCCTAAATAAGAGTTAAATGGATAAACTTAAAATATATAAAGATGTCATATTCCAATCAGTAACTACAGGAGAAATTTTGTTTAATGAGAAAAGATAATAGATAAATGAAACAGGACAGACAAAAATATAAATACAATGATTTGAATTGAGATGAGATAATTAAAATAAAATTGAGAAAATTAAAAGAGGGGAGAAGCTATGCAGAAAATGTAAAACAGTAATAAGATATGGAATAGAATATAAAAATGAGCATGAAGTTGAATTTGTGTCTGTACGAAGAAATGTAACCCGGGATTATGCTACTTTCAAAAAAGATGTTTTATTTGTTTGGTTTTTTCTTTGTGAAAACTCAAATAAAATTTACCCCCCAAAAAAATGTTTCAAAAGATTGTTTTATAAGAGATTTCTGCCACATGATACTTTAGACTAGAGATCAAAAGTCAAGAGCATGTATGGTTGTTCTAAAGGCTAAGAAGGATTTCTTGATTTGCCAAAAAGATTTTTAGAAAAAGCTGTTACAAGAATTATTCTTAATATAGGATGTTAAATTTGATGACTTCTGGGCCTGATAATTAAATGTGATCTGTTATTTTTTCATACATTTATTCAAATATAGTCAAAATATATTTTGTGTATATTATTTCATTTACACTTTGAACTTTTAAATATTTTCTTTAAATCCTGAAAAACAGATATTTTTCAACTGATTATATAGAACCATGCAAAAAAGTTAAATGTTATAACTGGTTGCCATAATATGAGTTACCAGAACTTGATGTCATGGCATCAGGAAATAGTTCTGTGATATTAGAGTATGATATTAGAGTATCAACCAAAAATAAATATTTGGAAACACACATACATAACTTCATTTTATACTTTAAATCCCCTGGCTCTAAAGAAACCAGATATATTCATGAAACATTTATTTGGAAATCCTTGGACATTCTTACTCAAAAGCATTTCTCAGAGGAGGAATACCAGTTAAGTCAATAATCAAACTGCCACCTAACAGACATCCTTAAAATGCAAGGGTCCTAAGAAAGGCTTTAAAAAGAATTGTCCCTGTGGTGATACTGAGGTTGGACAGTTGATGGCTGGAGACTCCAAACTTTGTCTTCTTTGGGCTTATAGCTCAGTTATGCTGCCTGCTTTAGAGTAGTGGACTAAATAGTTCCTGTGGCCACCAAAGGCGATCAAAGCCTTTGACTGGGATTGAAGTAAAAAAAAACCATGACTTTGTTTTCCTTATCCTGAAACACCCCTCTACAACACACACACACACACACACACACACACACACACACACACACACACACACACGCCTAGCTCTTCAAAGAAGCGCTGAGTAGTTTGGAGTAATTTGAGCATGCATGAATTCTAGAGTCGTCATGTAACTCTGCATTAATTGAACTAAAGCTCTTCTGCCCTGTAGAAATTATAGGTAGTCCTCCACTTACGACAATTGAGACCAGAATTTCTGCTGCTAAGCAAGGCAGTTGTTAGAGTCATGCACAGTTTTATTATCTTTTTGTCATGGTTAAGCTTAACCATGGTTTGCTTAAATAATAATGAAATAATTAAGTTGTTACATGAACCAGGCAATCATTAAGCGAATCTGGTTTCCCTCGTTGGCTGTCACTCAGAAACTGGTTGGGAAGGTGGCAAATTGCGATCACGTGACCCTACAACACTGCAACCATTGTAAATACATGCCTGTTGCCAAGCACCCGAATTTTGTTCATGACTGTGGGGATGTTGTGACTGTTGTAAGCATGAGGAATGGTTGCAAGTCACTTTTGTCAGTGTCATTGTAATTTTGAACAGTCACTAAATGATTATAAGTTGAGGACTGCCTGCAGAGATAATGCATTGTGGGGCACATTTTCAAAAAAAGATATGGTTCTCAGCATATTATTGCCCTTTGGAGAATGAATCAGAAGAGCGTGAAATGAAAAAATGAAAACTGCTTAAAGTTAGATATTAGTTATAGCATGGTATTTGTTTATACCTTCTTTTAAATTTGGAAAATATGTTCTTAAATAAGTGTCTTGTTCGCTTATACCGTTTTGAAAGCACCTTGATAGGCCTACATAACATTAAAACATAAATGGCAAATATATTTGGTACTATATTTGGTGACATGGAGGATAAACTTTTCAGCTGTAAAACAGTAGAAATGTTGTTTGCAGCATGGAGCAGATCCAACCAAAAAGAACAGAGATGGCAACACCCCTCTGGACTTGGTGAAAGAGGGAGATACTGATATCCAGGACCTGCTGCGAGGGGATGCTGCCCTGCTGGATGCTGCTAAAAAGGGCTGCTTGGCACGAGTTCAGAAATTATGCTCTCCAGAAAACATCAATTGCCGGGATACCCAGGGCCGAAACTCCACCCCATTACATCTTGCTGGTAAGTGAGCAATTGTGTTGATTTATTCATAGGAAATCCTCCATGGAACAGATTTAAGAAACTTTGACAAGCACATGTCTTTTGAACAATTTATTACGGTATTTGGTCTACGATTCCTTCATTGCTGAATTTTCATTCATGCGGTATTTCTTTTTACACATAGCTGGTTATAATAATTTGGAAGTTGCTGAGTATCTTCTAGAACATGGTGCTGATGTAAACGCTCAAGACAAGGGAGGATTAATTCCACTACATAATGCGGCATCCTATGGGGTAAGCATTAATTAATAATCCCAGTGTAGTCAAGACGTCCAGCTTGCATTACATTAAAAAGTATAAAACAAGTAGAAGAAACCAGAGCAACCAAAAGGGAATAACAGCATAAAATTGGTTTTATTTCAGTCTTCTACAAAATGTCGCTGAAATATGTACAAGGGGAATTGTAAGATTTGTATCAATTGATGAGACTATTTGTAACTCGGGATTTAATTGAAGTCATTGGCACTCTCTGATCTTGATTGTTTTCTTGCAGACATTTCATTACCCAACTAGGTTATAGGACAGACAAGTTGTATATAAACAGAAAGCAAAGCCCATTCCTTTCTAGCAGTGATGATTTTACTTAATTGGATAATGAAACTTCTGCAAGAAAACAGCCAAGTTCAGAGAGCACCAAGGACCCCAGTATAAGATCTGTCTTGCTACTTGGTAAAAAAACAAACAAACACGTAATTGTTTGAAATAGTAATGTGAATATCATGTTATCTCTTGGTAAATATTTCTCTATTATGAAGGTGAAAACTTAAGATTAGATTAAATGATGTATGGATCAAAAGTCCCATTTTCTATTTTCTGCCTTAGTTGTAATTAGTTGTGTTAGCTTTTTTCAGTTCTTGCATAGAAAAATAAAAATGGCACATGCACCTCCCATATTAAGAAAGTTTAGATGGTTGAAAGTTGTATATTTTGCATACTGGTTAATTAGTGTGCTTGTTGCTCATAGATCTCTTTGAATAGAACTATCTAATTATATTATTGATTATGTTTACACTGCTGCATACATCCAGCTCTGTCACAGCTTTGAATGTATAACAAATCATTTAACAATGTTTGCTTTTCTTTTTTAAATTGGGAATTCTTCCTATTATTTTTTTCATTTTTCCCCAGCATGTGGATATAGCAGCTCTATTGATTAAGTATAATACCTGTGTAAATGCTACAGATAAATGGGCATTTACGCCATTGCATGAAGCAGCACAAAAAGGAAGGACGCAACTCTGTGCACTACTTCTAGCTCATGGAGCAGATCCAACAATGAAGAATCAAGAAGGCCAAACCCCTTTGGATCTTGCCACAGTAAGTAATGATGTTTATTTCAGTATTTAGATCAGCTGACTACAGTGGTAATCATTTATTTCCTTCATTGACCACATTTATTTAGTGAAATATGACAGTAAATGTACGGAAATGGATTTGACCTGAATCTGTTTCTTTAAAAATTGTGAGGAGCTAAAGTTGTTGCTCTATTAAAATCCAGTGAGAATACAGAAACCACACAATTTATTATATCACATTGGTTCAATATATATTGGATGTTTGGTAAGGCAGGATAAGAAAATATTTTTGATTTGTACAGATTGAATCCCTGATTTTTTAATTCATTGCTTCATTTAGACAACTTACAGTGTGTAATGTGGTTGCAATTACTATTTAACAAATTGCTTTATTCCTTTCATTTTTTAATTGCTTGAACTTTATCTGTAACTTCAAAAACAAAGTGTTTTTTTAAATTCTTCACATATGTGAACACCTAAAAATTTTATGTACAGAATACATAAAAGAGAACTGTCTGAGGATAAACTATTTTGTAATATTTCAAAGTGTTGTGGAAAGTAAATGTCTTTCTGATTCTATTTTACTACTTCCAAAAACAGGAATGGTTCCAAAGATCGATGACTTGAATATTTGCAAATATTCATATATTCTTTGAATGTTTGCTTTTGAATATAGAGATAGTTATTTTGCTTAAACTATTTCTTTAAAAATGATTGGTTTTGGTTTTATTTTTTAAAACACCATTTTATTTCCAGGCTGATGATATCAGAGCCCTGCTTATTGATGCAATGCCTCCTGAAGCCTTGCCAACGTGCTTTAAACCTCAGGCCACTGTTGTTAGTGCCTCTATCATTTCGCCAGCATCCACTCCATCTTGTTTGTCTGCTGCCAGCAGTATAGATAACCTGGCAGGACCTCTGGCTGAAATTGCTGTGGCAGGTGCATCTAATGCTGGAGATGGAGCAACAGGAACAGAGAGGAAAGAAGGAGAAGGTACTCTTCCTGATTATTGGAAATTGCCAAAGTCACAGTTTTAAATATGCATAATGGGAAATCATCTTTAATACTAATTTTTGAGGAAATAAATCTGTTTAGCTCATGACTTCTAAGGCTTTGTAAAACAACCTAACATTTGAAGAATATGCATAATGGGAAATCATCTTTAATACTAATTTTTGAGGAAGTAGGTCTAAGGTCCTTATTTAGATCATGATTTTTAAAGCTTTGTTGGGGGTGGGGGAACCTTATCGCTTGAAGAAATAGATAAAAAAGATTTTCCCTTTGGAGTAACTATTTTTCTGGACTTTGGTTGTCTTTTTAAATTTGGGACTTTAAATTGGTGAACATAGATATTTAGTTTTGATAGAAATAGGGCATAGAAATAGGGCATATATAAAACTATTGTCAAAATTGTAAAAACTGTAGGATGATGGATGTTTTTGAGGAACAAATATCTCGTGTTTGTTGTGCTACCAACCAGCATGAGTAAGTTACTCATTAAGTTATATAACAACATTGGAGGAGGAAGAGGTGGATAAAGCAGAGAAAATGGAATGTGCAGATGGTAGCTTTATCTGACACATGTAACTCTTAACACTCACCAAACATACATACGCCCATACATTTTGGGTCTATGTCTCTTGTTTATTCTTTATATTTTTTTCTAGTAAAGATTTGCTTTCTTGTAGAACATGCAATAAGAGGAAGTATTTCAGATTGAAAAGTTAAAGGACTAAGGATTTGAATGGAAGCTTGGTGGATAGTTTGTATTGATGACTTACATGAAGGATTTTTTTTGTTGTAGTTGTTGGTCTTGATATGAATATCAGCCAGTTTTTGAAGAGCTTGGGTCTGGAGCATCTCCGGGATATATTTGAAACAGAACAGGTAAAAATGATCTTAAGCTAGTGTTACATTTATTCTTCTATTTCAGTTCAATAATGTACATGAAGTGGAAATGTGATAGGTAGCATCCAAAGAATCTCATAGTTAAGTTTTCTGTGTGAGAGAGAGAGATTTGGTTTTTTGTTTTTAAAACTGACATACTTTATGGTCAAATAAAGCAGATGGTAATACAGTATGAACCCTGCTTTTGTAGAGATGAATTTAAAAAGAGCTACTGGGAAGTTATCTGGAATCAGCTATTTGATTAAATTCAGTTTTGCTTAAGATGGCAAAGCAATTTAAGTAATAACTTTAATCAGTTTATTTCTTCTTCAGCCCTGTTGCCCTCTTTTAAAACAAATCCAGGTATCAACATCTTATATTGTATAGCATTAGGCCTACTTTGTTTCTTCTCATTTCAATTAATGTGCAAATAATTTGCCTAAGTTCTATCTTGAAAACGAAGGAATAAATATTGATGCTTTTGTTACTTATCTAGCATTTTTCCATCTATTGTTTCAGCAAAAGGAGTTCAAATTACATTTTTTTTAAACTCAGGGGTGGGTTCTACCGGTTCTGTCCACCACTGTAGAACTGGTAGCTCTGAAGAGCAGCAGACATAGAACCGGTTCTGGGTCTGTTGATGTTTTTGCCCACCCATCCACCTGGGCTCTTACCTGATCTTTATTTCCTGATTTGAGGCACAGCTGCAGTTAAAAAAGCAGGAAAAGAGGGCTGTTTCAAAGGCTGCATCTCTGCACACAGCATGCTGATGACGATTTACAGGCACCCACCTGCAGCGCAGCGTGCAGGGAAGCACATCGTAAATCACCGAACCTCATAAATGACCGAACTGGTAGTTAACCCTGTTGGATCCCACCCCTGTTTAAACCCAAAGCAAACAGTTGCACTGAAAGTTGAAGAGTGAGAGAAATGCTTGGTGCTTGCTACTAGTTATTTTTCTCCTGTCTTCAGCTGCTACCAGTACAATTTATCTGACCAACCAGCTGGGCCCTTAATCTTCCTAGATTGCATTCTCCATCCCTACTTAAAATATATTGATGTTGTCTTTACTAGGTTGAAGGTGACTAATGAAAAATGCTACTTTTTGCTTCTCTCTATGCTGTTCAGATTACCTTGGATGTACTAGCAGACATGGGTCATGAGGAGCTGAAAGAAATTGGCATCAATGCCTATGGGCACCGTCACAAATTAATAAAAGGTGTAGAGAGGCTTCTAGGTGGGCAACAGGGTAAGTCTGTTAATCTACTAAAAATCAATTTGAGATTCAGCTAAGAAGTAAAGTCTCCTTTCATAAGTTATAGAAATTCAGGAGAGGTCTTAGTTTGGGGAAGGAAAGCAGTAAGGGAGAACAAAAACAAAAATATTGATAAATAAAATGAAATGAGAACTCTTTTTTTTTTTTTGTATACTCAGAATCATTTTCCAATTTGTGATATCCCATATCTATCATTCCCAATTGTGTGATGTTCCACATGTGGTCAGCCTCTCCCATGTAATGTATGTATTGTAGCTCTTGTCGTTCTCCAGATTCAGGGACGTTGTTTTGGTTTTTCAAGTTTAAGGAATTGCCACCTTGTTCTTTTTTCCTTTTTTTTTCTTTTGAGACTTATAATCAATTATAATGAGAGAGTACATTTTCTGAGTCCTCCAGAATCTTAGCTGTTGTCTAATCTCTATGGGCAAAGAAATTGCAAACCTTAGAAAACAACTTTAATTTACCTTTTAAAATCCAGTGGTTTTTTAAATGATGGCAGCGGACAGTACTCCCTCAGTCCTAGTTTTATAGTTGGTACTTCTTGGTGAACCTATGTGCATAAAAGTTTAATATATTTTCCTTTTCAGGCACCAATCCTTATCTGACTTTTCACTGTGTCAGCCAAGGGACAATTTTTATAGATCTTGCTCCTGATGATAAAGAATACCAATCTGTAGAAGAAGAGGTAAAAAAAATCAAATTTAAAAAAGCTTAAGATAGGTCTTTGAATATAACACAATTGTTTCTTTGTTTACAAATGTTTCTGTACTATGCAGCACCCAAGTAGTCAAGTAATTCTAGATAACATAGTGGGATTTTGTACATATACAATCTACCTTGCAGGAGACATGAAAACTCCTTAATTTCACAAAACATAGAAAGGCTTAAGCTTCTTTCAGAGGTAGGACATTGTGAGTATCCTAAAACAAGCTAAATCCCCCCAAAATGCCAAGGAATTCCTTGATGCTTAACATTCAAACAAATCAGCCATCAAAAGGCACACAGAGGTAGACCACATTTACATACCATTCAATAGAGACAAAAGAAAGCTAAAAAGGAAACAAAAGCAGAACACCTTACCAGCAATTAACACTCTTGATAAGCAGGGATTAACACTAGACAAGCAGTCAAGCAGGAAATAGCAGCATAACAAAGGAACTACCAAGGAGAAAGCAATGCCTCACCAACATTGACAGGGCAAGCTACTATATTTATTTACTAGATTTATATGATACCCTTCTTGGTGTTAACAGCAACTGGGTGGCTTACAGGGTAATAAAAAGTGAAAGAAGTAGTTCAAAGCACTTAAAATTAGAAAGATTAAATAAGAAACAAAAATCAAGAGGACAGATGAGATTGGGATTGAGGTCTTTTCTCTACCCAGCAGCTACTGCTAACCTAGAACACCCGTATAAAACCCCACTCCCTTCTGGCATTAGTTGGGTAATTACGGTAAATGTCTGCAAGCAAATCAAGGTCAAAGAGCACCATGACTTCACAGTTGATCTCTGAGCATAATCCAAGATATACAAAGAATGGCAAACTAAGGGTGGAAGTTCGTCATCTCTTTGAGTCACTTTTATACTAGAAGAACATTCTGTTTTCACATAAAAATACGCATATTTTTGCTTACATGTATTCTTTGGATATTCCTAGAATGAATACAGCATCATGGTTTATTTGCAGCATGAAAAGTTTAGAATTTTATGGAAGTGTTACTTTTCCTCAGTTTGAAGAGATCTTACATGCCTTTTTCTACTTCCTGCACTTAAGAAGAAACCCCTATTAAGGATAGTTTGCATTCAGGATTTAATACAATAGATATCATTAAATGTCTACTTGAAAGCCAATGGGGAAACTGGAAATTTCAGAAGTAGCGGACAGGGAAAAGTTTAAACATTTTCCTGACATCTAGTCCCAAACCCACTGACTCAGTGATAGTTCTGTTTAGAAGGACTTTATCCTGTGTAATTTGCTTTTTTTTCAAAATCTTTCTATACTTATAATACATTACGTGCAGATAGAGTCTTGCGAGCTGACCAGGTGTAGAAATAATTCAGAAATGAAGTCTTGCTATTGCGAGAGAAGCCAAAATTGCATTGCTAGTCTCACACATTCCAAAGTTTGAAAGAGTCTCTTTATGAGTCAGAAGGTGGCAGCAAATGTCCTCTGCTCTTGTAAACTAAGTGAAGTCTGCTGGCTGGTACTTGGATGGGAGACTTTCAAGGAATACTAAGACATAAGCTAAATGTGGAGGTGAAGAAATGTAACAGAAATAGTGCAAACCTCTTTCTTATTGTAATTAAGACACATTGGATTTATACAGAGATATGCTGAATTGGAACTTGCAAAGCAGCCTCTTCCAAGAAAAAAAAAGTTTGATAAAAATTAACATTGCAACCACGAATGGTTGTGGCAAGATGAAATGGAAAGGAGCATATGGAAAGGATTTGCAGGAGTGGAAGAGCCTAAGGCAGCTCCCACAACAGCCTGCTGTTAGATCCCAAGAGGATGTGAGCATTTGAGGAATACCCTGGAGAGATTGGGCTGATGCACTGTTGCCTAGCAGCATTAATCATTCTTATCTCTCTTGACTGACTTGGTTCCAGATAAACAGCAGGAAAGAGAAAGCAAGACAAACAGGATGCCTTTGTTTTTCCAGATCCACCACCAAGTGAAGACTGTTCCCTCCCACTTTTCCTCCCCTCCCCCCCCCATTAATTTATTGGCAGCCCATCTATACTTTGTCCATGATCTCAATAAACAGAATTGAAATTGAATATTGGCAGCATGCACCTAGATTTATTCAACTAAATAAGATTTTACAATTACTGACATTTGATTGTTTAACAGATGCAGAGCACCATCAGGGAACATAGAGATGGTGGTAATGCTGGGGGAATCTTCAACAGATATAATGTCATTAGGGTAAGTTTCGAAGGCTTTATATGTCTAGCTCAAAAATTATTGATAGAAACATCAAATCGGTTGATCCAGCAGAAGGAAGTAGTGATGATACTGTGTTTAGCTTCTTGATTTTGAAGCTCTTTTGACTATCATCTAGGGCAGTGATGGTGAACCTTTTAGAGACCGAGTGCCCAAACTGCAACCCAAAACCCACTTATTTATCACAAAGTGCCAACACGGCAATTTAACCTAAATACTGAGGTTTTAGTTTAGAAAAAACAACTCATACATTTAACATCTTTAGTCTTTAAAGAAAAACACAATAACAGAGCTTTCAATGATACAAACAACTTTTGATATTTACAATTTTGGGCCCACCTCAACCATAATTTATTTAATTATGTTTTTACATTTCTGAACTGTCCATCTCCCTCAAAGAAGGAATCTTGCTGATGGCAGCTCTGTCCCCAAATACATTTGGGCAACATTAATAGAGGATTTGAATCCCCAAATCAAGCACAGTCTTCCCATTCATCTTTCTAGTAAGTGAATGCCCCACTTCATCTATTCTTAAACACCAAATATTCCTGGTTGCTATGCTCTGTCTACAAGATAGAATTGTGGACTGTTAAAGAAATATGTTGCATAACACAGTCAGACAAATATTTTCAGGTCCTTTTACACATGGATTAACAATGGCTAACATCCCTATCAGTTTAGCCACTTGATTGAAAATTTATGGGTTTAGGATGATTTACAGCAATTAAAAGCTAGCGTGTTTATTAGCCCTTTTGGCAAAAAGAGTCTTAATTGTGAGTGCTAGAACCATTAGAATATTTCTTGGGGGTCGGTGAAGGTATTTTTCTATCCTAATTTCTAGTTTGTTTTTTATTATATTAAAACAACATTCAACAATTGTTTTAAATTCTACAAATTACACAGCCATTGATAATAACTGAAGTAATCATCCTCCTTTTTTCAGAGAGTAAACCTGTCTGAAGAAACACAACCTACCACAAATCCTACTGTGCCTTAGTATGAAGTATGATCCCAATCCAGAACTTTCATCAATGAATATGTTTAATGTCATGTTCATGCAATATATGTCATAGTTTGCATAACTGATTTGCTCAAAATAGTCCAATTTGTGGACTATGCCAAGCCAAAAAATCCCTTTATGACAGAGTGCTATATGGATGAGACTTGTAGTTGTACATATTTACAAATTCAATAAAGATTCAGGGGTGACTTTACCACAGTTTCCATATTAAGACAGTTAATTCAGGACCCGGTTGAGCAAGGGTTGTCTACGGCACTGCTTGACAGGCCCGCAACCTTGGTGCCACCTCTCCACCACGGAGAAAGGGTCTGGTTCTTTCTAACGGAGTGCTTCATGTTACTCTTTCCTTGCTTCTTTTCCTCCAGGGGGTGGAGGGCTCCAGAAGGAGATTGGGGCAGCCCCAGTGGGATCAGGTATCTTGCGGGCAAAAAGTGAGAAGGGAGGAGAGAAGAGATAAGATAAGATAAGATAAGATAAAGATAAGATAAATTTATTGTCATTGTACTCAGAAACCTGAGAACAACGAAATAAGGTGCTCTTTCACAACATACAACTGAACAACACCAAAAGACATATACAAATAACAATGTAAAACAAATTAAAACAAATAACAGTTAAAAAACTGTACAACCAGGATATATATATGTTAAGACCACCAGATTCATAACTCTGCATTTAACCTGATCACAGCACTTGGGTAAAAGCTATGTTTAAATCTACTTGTCCTGGCTTTCAGCACTCTATATCGTCTTGACAGCCTGACAGAGTTGCAGCTGCAGAAGTGGAGACTGATGTTTACAGCGGGCTGAGGTAAACATCTGTCTCTGCTCCTGCAGCTCCAGCTCCGTCAGGCTCTTCTCTCCCCCACCTCACTTTCTGCCAGGGTGAGGACCCTCCCCCCTAGGCCACCCTGCGAGACTCCTGATCGTACCCGGGCTGCCCCAATTGGTGAACTCTGGTGAGCTCTGTGCTGGGGCGAGGGTGCGTGTGCCCACAGAGAGGGCTCTGAGTGCCCTCCTCTGGCACACATGCCATAGGTTCACCACCACTGATCTACGGTGAGCAAAGCATTTGAAAGAGATGCTTTACAAAATATATTACTAATGGCCTTTTTGCTGAAAATGAATAAAAATGAACTGGTGACTTCTGGATTTACCAATGTAAAAGGACTGTATGGAAAGAAGGGAAACTACATTATGTAATCTTGAAGAGGGGAAATGGTATTAAGTATATCTATAGCTGCTGCAAAGAAAATTGGAAATCACTTTAATTATTCTTTATTCTTTCTCTTTTTCCTTGCTCTTGGTTGTTTTCAATACATTTTTCTTTATCTTTTTTCTTCTATCTTTTTTGTGTTTATCTTTTAACTTTGTAAAAAAAAAGATCTTTAATAAAAGTTATGTATATATAAAAGTACAAGTGCCTTAGTGCAAGCAAAGCAGGTCTCTTTGAAGCACCAAAGCAAGTTCACCCTTTGCAAGTTTGTGCAGCTGCCGCAAAGGCTGTTCTCACATGTCGGCATTGTGCAGGCACAGATCATACTTCTGTGGAGCCGAGCAGCCAAGCACAAAGGCTGGAGGCAGCTTTTGAAACGAACTGTACCAGCCCTTGCAAAGCTAAGTTCACTCTTGGAGGACAGCTGCTTTGTTTATACTAACATTCACCACTGCTTGGAAGCCTGAACATTTCAAGCACTTTTCCTCTCCCTGGTGGCTTTAAAATATTAAGTCTTAAATTATTATTTTATACAGTAAATATATATATGCACATACATAATATATAATTTTTATTACATTTTATATTGTCTTCTTTAACTGATCAGAATTTTTAAAAAGGATATGTGTATGAGGATTTTTTTACTTATCTGCAAGGCTATCAAATTTCTAGTTCAGGTTCTCCCTCATTTTTATTTTATTTATTTTTATTTTACTTATTTCATACGGTTCCATAGAGTTAAAATAGGAGTGTTTTTTGCATTTGATTCTGTTGTCTTTCAAAAGGGCAGCTACAGTAATGTTCCATTTCCCTGCTTATGAAAAATTCTGCTCTATTGTTTTGAGATGGCAAGAATATGTGCAGTTTTAGTCAAGAACAAATATATTTTACTCCTAGTGAGTAAGTGAGCAACTTAATTTTGTCCAAATTGTGGAGTTCTTAGTGCTCTTGAGTTTGTTATTTGCTTGCAGACATTTTGTTACCTAGTCTAGTAATGAAACATCTGCAAGCAAACAATCAAGCTCAGAAAGCACCAAGGACTCCACCATTCAACCCTGAGCTACATATATTATTTTCTGTTTATTCTCCTCTGTTTATTCCAATTATATTCATGTCATTAATAATCTGCTAATTTGAACTTTGTAGGGAAGGATAAGCATTGTATATTAGATTTGTTAAGAATATAGTAAAGATATGGTGCATAAAATAAAGTTTTAGAAAGAGAAACAAATTGGGGTGATATGATGTTCTGTGGTAAGTATGAATCTTAAGTAGTTAAATCATATCCATTTCATAGTTCAGAGAAAAATTGAGCAACTTGAGGTTGCCTGAGATCTATGAACTTACGTTTGTAAGGTATACTTCTGAGCCTTACTAACAGAAGACCAAGCTGTCAAAAAAGGAGCAAATTAAATTAGCCTTTAATTATTATTACTAAATATTACTAAAACTAATTTTTTTAAAACCACAGAAACCATTTTAAAAATGATGCAGCTTATATAGAATCATATTGACTCAAGATTTTGTAATTTGGTCTTAATGTTTTTTTTAATTTGTCCATAGATTCAGAAGGTTGTGAATAAAAAGCTAAGAGAGAGATTTTGTCATCGTCAGAAAGAAGTCTCGGAAGAAAATCATAACCATCACAACGAACGCATGTTGTTTCATGGTATGTAAGGTGGCCCTTCAAGAATGTGTGGTTGCAGTATAACAAAACTGATTAAATGTACATAAATTGGACTTCTAGCTGGTTTTTCATCCCTTATCAGTACAAATATGCTACTCCACCTCCTATAAGGCTCTAGAGTATTTTCCAGGGAGAAACCCCGGGGAGGAGTTTATGAATGAAAAGGAAGGAGAAAAGCAGTGTTCCATTCTGGAGGCAATTCTATCAGGACCACTGTTTTGTCTCTGCTTTTTTTAATCCAATCTCATGAAATGTGATAGAGATGCAGGTCAAGAAACGAAAAAGAGAGGCATGCCAGGCAATTCATCCTTCTCCACAGATAGAGAAAGGAAGCTACCACTCATTCAGAGAATCTTTTAAGTATATGTTGCTTAGCAATAAAAAATGAATACGTTCATAGATGCTAACCAGTGCTGCAATTGCTTCCTGTTAGGAAAAAAAAACAAACCACTACACCTCACAGCTGCTCTCTTTACTTTGTGCAAGGAATTGAACAAAGATTCTTTCTTTTCAGAGAAACCTAGCCCAACAACTTCTCCAGTATACGTAATACTAACACGTGTCACTAAGTACCAATGTTATCTCAACCCTTACATTAAGTTAGGTTTTTCTGTTTATTGGAAAAGGTTAAGAGTGGGAGGTATGACATTTTCCTTAGATATATGAAAATCCTTTTCTTTAAAATCTGTTGAATCTTTAGAAATCAGAATTTCCTGTCAGATTGTCCTTGGTTTATATCAGGGGTCCCCAAACTTCGGGCCGTGGCCCATCAGTGGGCTGTGACGTGTTTGCAACTGGGCTGTGGAAATGTGCATCTCTGTTTGCACAAGCAGTGGGGGAACCCATGCACATATGCTCTCTTTGTGTGAGTGGTGGGCGCATGTGCACACTGTTTGCACAAATGGAGCCGCACATGTGCGCATGCTTGCCGGCTGCTCACACAGAACCATCCCTTCTCCCCCCCACCTCCCCGGTTGGGGAACTCTGGTTTATATGATTGGATATGGATTAATTATTTTGCTAATTTGATGTTCAGATGAAGTTACAATTCCTATGATACATATATATGTTTACATGCTATTTTGTTTCCTTGTTTTAGGATCTCCTTTTATTAATGCTATTATTCACAAAGGATTTGATGAAAGACACGCATACATTGGAGGGATGTTTGGAGCTGGAATTTACTTTGCAGAAAATTCCTCTAAAAGTAACCAATATGTATATGGAATTGGAGGAGGCACAGGCTGTCCTACACATAAAGACAGGTCCTGCTATATCTGCCACAGGTGAGTTCTTGATAAATTGGACTGTCTGGAAAAGCAGGTACACTGCTTCCTTAACTGAAGGAATGGCAAATTAGAGGAAAAATTGGAAAAAAGATCAGGCACATTTCTTAGTTCTCTAGCTTGGAGGAATGTGAATGCTGAAATATGGATACTCCAGAGGGTCTAGGAGGCTCCTGCAAAGTCAAACATGATTCAGAGAACACAAGAATAAAACACCATTTTTATTGCAAGGAGTTATCATTGAACAGCTTCTGAATTCATGCTTGCAGTTTCCAATGACCAAACAAAGTTGAAATGACAAAAATGACCTTAATAAGTCTTTTCTTTCAGTATGCAAACTGCAATGGCTTGATAACCTATTATTTGCAGAATGTGTTGATATTCTGCTATCACTTGCTTAGCCATTCTTCCAGTTGTGCGAAAATTGTTAGTTTTTCTGAACTAGCTCCTGAACTGTCATTTGACTATTCCAGCCATTAGGACTTCATGTTCCAAGGTTGTTGTTGTTGGTTGTTTTTGGTTTTTTTTGGGGGGGGGGGCATACTAACATGGTCCTAAGAGCTGATGATTAAGCAAAAATGAATGAAATGAAAATGAAAATTCAACCTTTTTACTGATTTAAACAATGTTTAAATTGAAAATTGATAGGTTGTACATACTTTAAATCTCTGACATGATGTATATGAAATGTTTTGCTGTAACTTAGTTCATTTTTTAAATTCTTTTCTTCCTGTCTTCTTTCAGACAAATGCTTTTTTGCCGTGTGACATTGGGAAAGTCCTTCTTGCAGTTTAGTACCATGAAAATGGCCCACGCCCCTCCCGGACATCACTCTGTAATTGGCAGGCCAAGTGTCAATGGGCTCGCCTATGCTGAGTATGTCATCTATAGAGGGGAACAGGTAGGTGACATTTGAAAATGGCATCTATCTTCTTCATTGGCTCACTGAAATCTGTACATTGTTAAGCACCACCAAAGGTGTGAGAGATACTTCATACTTTTAACAATAAACTGTGGTTAGCTTGAGCATCACACCAAATTACTGTGACAAACTACATGTTTTAAAAAGGTGTGTGATTCTTTCATGCTTTATAGTACAAACTGTCTTAAATAAGGAGCAAATGATGACTTCTTTTGTTCTTCCTGCAATCTAAAGACCCCCCAAAAAACCTGTTTTAAAAGTTTGATTAAATAAGTACTACCTTCTGCCATTTGCAGAGGGACAATTTCTAACACTAATAGATTTCACTATCCATAAAATAAAAAATATTTTTGAAGACACATTCAGATACTTTGCTTAAAATCAGCCACATCTTCATGTTACTAAAAATACATTACTATATTAAAAAAGCCAAGCAGGAAATACACACTTTCAAAAGTCTATATGCAGCCACTGAATTTTTCTCGAGAACAGTATGCACCTATGGTTTGTGGTAGACTGCTCCAGCAATGCTGTACTCTGTGAAAAATAGGAGGTTGCTTAATTGTTTATATTAAGGCTGATGTATTATACTATATCATACTTATGTCATACTATGAAAGGATCTTATTTAAGCTCCTGTTTAAATGTTCTTCCCTTGATTTAATGAATAAGACTCTGACTGGTGCTTCCAAAACTTGCATCAGTTTCTATACCATCTCCTTTCTGCAAAAGAGGAAAGGAACAAACATGGCAGAGAAGAGTACAGTAATACTTTGCAAATAGATATATGTCCACATCAGATACACAAATTTTGAGTACAGTCTGATGTAATTCGTACAATAGACTTAACAATAACAATACTTCTTCCCCAAAATCAGACAAAAAAACCACTTCCATTAATTACACATCATTGTCTCACCTACTGTGGCCTTTGCACTCCCTAGAAGGTGTTCACTTCAGTTCTTGGTGATCAGTTTCTCTTCAAACAGTATTTGGGAAGATATTAGATGCTGACCTAGGCTTTTATACATCCCTTCTGCCCCATTGGAGTATGCTATTTGCCCCCAAATGAACAAATAAAAAGGAAGCTTTCATATTTGAAGTCATGGAAAAGTATCTGTTCAACATAACATAATGGATATTAAATGGATTTTGTTAGAAGCAAAAGTATCAGAGAATCGTGGCTTCTTAGACGGAAGTAATATAAAAATTAAGTAAAATGAACTTTTTCTGTGTTTTTAATTATTTCTCTATAATGTGTAGTAATTTGAGTGTATCTGCTTATTCGTAGGCGTACCCTGAGTATCTCATTACATACCAAATTGTAAAGCCAGATACTCCCTCACAGACAGCAATGGCTGCAGAACAGAAGACCTAGTAGATGCTGGTTCATTGAAGTAGATTACGTGACTTACGGACTGGATGGTCGAGATTAGTTTCAGAACATCAAAATTATATGGAATTCTCATCATTCTGGAACTGCTTTAAGTGTTTTATAAAGCATTGTTCTGTAAATGAATCTGAGTAACTGATATGTACTCAATTGCTACTATTCCTTTTGAGGAAATGTTTACAAAGATTTGCCTTTTAACATCCTATCTCAGGCTCACTTTCCCTGCAGTTGCCATGTGTGTAATGAGAACATCACTGCTTCAATCTGGACAGCAACAACAGCTGTAGTGAAGTGCAGAGCCTCTATTGAACCCATGCCATCCTCTCAACATGCAAGGCTGGTTTTCCTTTTTAGAAGTCTTTAGTCAGTTATTTATTTTCATTTTATTCTTCTGTTACAAAAATGAGCCAGACCCTCCTTGAGGATATTTTTGCACAAAGTCAATTTGACTAAAATCACTTAACAATGCAATAGGAATTTCTTATCCAAGGTGTTAGAGATACAGTTATTTGGTCTGGGATTCTTTTTGCACTTTTTATGAATTCTTTTAAGTTGCTAAGAACATAATTTTAAGGTAGAAGTCCTGCTTTATCCCTTTCTCTTTCTTTATTAGATGTTCATGCTAGCATCCATATAGCAGCTTCTCTGGGAAATGGTCTCTGTTCCTCTGTTTTGCTTTCTCATTGCTTTCTTGCGTCTAATATTCCAGTAGCACAGTTTGGATGTGTCTGAAAAAATGCATAGGAAACATTTGTTGGATGAAACAGAATAGACACAGGATCCTGTTTTCTCTCTGCCCTAGCTAAGTGAGGTTGTAAGCAAGTTAGTGAGATTCCTGAAGGAATTTGATGTCTTCTGTGGGTATTTGTTCTGAGGTTTTTAAAATATTTTCATCAGATAATGAACAGCAAGGGAGCAGAGATGTGAGCCAGAGGCCTAGTCTAGTTCTCACATGTGTGTAAACTCCAAAAGGACCATTTTTTCCCCATAAAGGGCGTATTAGAGTATAAAAGTTAACTGTAAAGCTTGCTTGAGTCCCTTTTTCCTTCAATAGGAATATTCTGTTATTCCTTATATTACGTCTGGATTCATTCATCGGTTAAATTCCATGCAAATATCCTCCAACACCTTAGCCCCTTATCCCCAGTAGACTAATTAGACCAGTTAAGCTGGTTATATCAAGGAGTGTGTGTATATACATACATACATATATTTGTATTATTGCAGAAGACTGCTACTTAGTTTCTAATTGATTTCTATCCATTAAATTCATCCTCCCCCAGATTTTCTTTGTGACGAATCCACTTACATATCATTGTCATCGTCATTAATATATCACAAAATCTGCCAATGAAAACTATCTCCCTGCCCTCCCCAAAACATCATTTTTAAAAATTCAACGACTTTCAAGGAAAAACGAACAGTAGTAGAGATCTAGAAGTAGAATATATAATGGAGAGAGACTGCAATATTGCTTTGCAAAATCTTTGGTAAGTAAAACAGCCAAAGAAAGTTTGCTTATAATATAGTTCTTCTGTGGAAGTTTTTTATTCCTTGAAAGTAAAGGTATTATATTATGAAACCTACTGGCACCTGCTTGGAAATGGGCAATGGTCTTACCTGATGAACAAAGCCACTACCAAAAATCTTCCTCCAAAGATATTTCTAATATATATTAGAAAAATATACCTAATGCATATTAGAATAATGTACAGTTTACAAGAAAAATCATGTAAACATTTGTCAACTTCAGCACTTGAGCCAGAAGATGAAACAAGGTAACTTGCTGTGAATCTTTCATTTTCGCTTCTGTTGTTTGAGGTCACTCAGTCTGCCTGGGTTTCTCGGCACGAGGTGACATAAGGCCCAAAGCTCACCAAGATCATTTACCTCTAAAATAAATATCCAAATTTGGAAAGGATACAGATGATGAACATTCACTTAGAAATCTCTGTTTTTAAGCACAGCTCTGGGCAAAGTGCTAACTGTGGTTGAATTGCAAATATTTGTGAAACTCTACATTTTGACAGCTTCACGTGGATATGAATTAGGACTCGGCTGTTTTTCACATTTAATCCAAATGGTTCACATGGATGTGGAAGCCTAATGCTCTTTCTCCAGTAAGAGAGAATATTGATTCTGTGGTTGTCTTTTCCTCCAGTGTGATGGTTAATCTGATGGGTAATTTAAATTCTAAATTCCGAGGATCTCACATTGCTCCTGTTTTGTAACATGTTTCGTGTAGACTAAAAGGTGCTGTCCAAGGAATTCCATTTTCAGTTACTTGTGTCTTGTAGTAATGTAATTTTTGTTACTCCTTTAAATATACATGCACTCAAGTCTTCAGAGATCTAAAAGCCTAATAACGGGCATCCTAAAATAGATTGCAAACATAGCATTTAATGTCATTCAGTGTAACACAACAGTTAATGTTCCCACATATAGGAGTTGACAATTGCTGCAAAGGACTTTTACACTTGATTCTGAAATATATTTCTTTGGGATAAGACTTAAACTAATATATGCAGTAGATTATCTCTCAATATGTTCTGAATAGAAAACCTGATAAGTGCTTTGGTCATATATACGCACAGTCTTCAAAGTAACAAAAGTGGTGTTAGCCTTAAATAAATTGCATTTGGGGCTTTCTTCAACCCACTGGGGTTTAAATCCCAGCTACATCAAGAGATGATAAGATGCCATAAATCTAGTGCCATTCATTGGTTTTGTCCCACTCTGAGAGAGATGTATAGATTGAGACTTTTTCAGAAATTAAACTTGACGGGCTTAATGTCACAGTACAATGTTGGATATAACCATTATCTACAGTATGTGGGCTTGATTCTAGCACTTGTAACCATAATTAGGAATTTTAAGCACCCCGAACATTTGTGACGGTTACACTTAGTACAAATAGCAGTAAATCTGCTTGCAGCAACATTTAGTTTTGAAAGGGACCCTACAGCCAATTCATTGATGAATATGTTTATATGATGTATGTATTTGCAACAACACATTTGTTGTATTACATGTTTAGGTGCATACCTATAAATATAAATTGGTGAATAATCTGTTGAGCATATTTTTTTTAATTACAATCCTGGGAGCTGGGAAATGGGGGTTGCAAGCTACAATACTGTCTTTGGCTATTTTTGGTTGCCCTAGTGTCACATGCCATTGTGAGGAGAGGAGAAAGGAGGAGAGATTGGATAAGCTGATAGCTACTTTCTGCTTTGGTTTGTTGCTTGGATTTACAAAAACAAATAGATTTGGCTTTTTCTCTAAGTTAATTGTTTCATAGAAGAAACAAAGGATGGGGTGGTCTCATAGTTGCTCTCTCCTCAGACTATCATATAAACTGGAGGATAGAAGTGGAATAAAAGAGATTTTTAAAATAGCTATCAATTGAAAAATACAGCATATTTTAAAATTTCCATCCATTGAAGCCTCTGAATTCTCTGAATATATTCATAATCTGAAATGCAAAATATATTACAGCTTTCTTTAGAAATCCCAACCAATTCAGAAATGGTACCTTATGAATATAATCTCTTAGACTATTTTTATGTAATTTCCAACCATGGGATATTTGGTTTCAAATGTTTTGCATACCTTGGATTTAAATAAGGTTAAATCTTTCTCTACAAACCTCGAAAGTTCTAGGAATCTTGGGAATGGTCATCATTTTTATTGTTGTATAACCCTCAGCATTCTTGAATACCTGAGATGGCATCGTGAATTGCTTTCTTCCATGATGATATTCCAATAGTAATGGATTTTTTTTTTCCTTCTGAGAAACAACAATATTAAACAGATACGAGAGAACATTTTATTGTCCAAAGATGGGCAGCTGCTGTTTTTAGAATGAAGAAAAAAAATTTCCAGATTGGAATCTTCAGGTAAAGCAGCAATTTCATAGGAGATCTATGAGCTGATACCAGTATAATGACTGATTGTAATGTACAGACTTGAATTGGGGTGAATGTTCAGGCCAATCACTACAGCTGTGTGTTTCACACTTTTTTTTTATCCATTGTAGGCCAAGCAGCAGTTCCAAGAAGGCAATTTTCAGTTGGGAAATGTCACAAAGAGAACAATTGGAAGGATTTCCCCTACTTGGAAAAAGAAAAACTGGAGTGTTAGTTAGTTCATAGATCTTCCATGATATATGTTTCAGCCCTTAAGGAATCAATTGAATAAATGCAGGGATGACTCAACCAGTAGGTAGATGATTGAGATTTAAAAGACAACAAATCACCAGCTATTTATTTTCTCTCAGTGTGGTAGGAGAATTTTCTCCCCAGGTGGCAAAACATTTTCAATTCCATCTGCCTACTAAAATTTGTCACTTTGGAAAATTTGATTTTTACATATGCCTTCAACTTGATGTACATGCACGACATTCTGTCCTCTCTTATTTTAATACTATTTTTTTAGTTCCTTCCCACAAGCCACAACTGCGTATTATCATATCCTGGTGTGACTAAGACACAACTACATAAATAACCAAATGCAGTCTGCTGAAGCATGTTCTCACGGCAGCATAAAGCATAAACAAATGTACCATTTGAATTCTAGTTCCTATTTACAAGAATGAAGCCAACATGCAAAGTCCACTACCAGAGTCCATCACCTTGAAGGCCTGACTATATAACTTCAATGATTCTTGTGATCCAAATGTCTTGCTTTGTGGGTAGTGTCTGTGTATGGGCTATTGTAAATGTGGACAAAGCCAATGAAATTGCCATCGGCTACGTGTTTTATGCAATTACTATCTAGTTCATAAAGTTGCTATCTAATAATAGAAGAGTTAACATTTCTAGTATTTCCTTACATGATGGCAGCTCCTTATGGAAAAGTATAACAAGGCATTCTACCATCAACCCTGCAGCTGGTTCTTTTAAAGCAAGAATATAAACTACGCAAAAGAGACTCCATTTTTGCTAGAGACCTTATTTCCAGAATTCAAATACAACTGTAAGCCATAATGGGGTTGGTTTGTTTTAAAATTACTGTAGTACAGTGCACAAACTTATCTACCATAGTTTATTTCTTGGGTGGGTTCTAAAAACAGAGAGTATATATAGTCACCTTTTTCTAATACCGGTAACAGCTTCTCAGTATTTTGCAGCCAATGGAAACAAGATTTACATATGCTGTACTTTTTTTTCATAGCTTTGGAAAAATATAGAATTGGAACTGCCTGGCTTCCTAATCGTTGTGTCTCCAGTAAAACATAAGTTGTGTAGCTATCAGATTACAAATATTTTATGTGAGAGAAAAACAACCATAGCTAAAATTCTAGAATCAAAATTTCTATGGTTTGAAAGCAGGGCTCCGGTGTTATTCATTTCTTGAGTGCCCCCTCCTATGATGCCAAAATTACACCAAATTATTCAAAAAAATAAAGATAAAACAGTAAGCTATGAGAAATAGAATAATCTATATTTGTTCTATTTATAAAATTTACACTTGATGCCAGATGTTAATGACTTAGAGCAAAATTCATAATGCATAACTGTGCTTTGCACAAGAGTTTTATGGTGTAGTTTCCTTCATGCTTTATTAGTTGGGGAAAACATGAGGCAGACTAAGTAACAGAACAGTTTTCAAAGAAGTAGCTGTACAACATCTATTGAATCAGGCTTTTAGCAGTTTAAAGGCTAACAAATACATTACAGCATTTGCTTGTTTATGGAGCAGAAATGTTCCATAAAAGTTTGTGCCATAATATAAGGCACATTTTCCTTATCCTGTCTTCCCTTCATGTTCCTTTTAGTCAGAAGGTTTGAAGTAAAAAAAGACAAAATATACATCTGAATATCTGTATGTCACCGACCACCGTTTTTGTAATTTATTGAACAAAGTAGATGTTTTTGCGTACTGGTTCTGCAGAAAAATAGTTACTGGTAAAAGGTTTTAAAGGCTTTGTTTATAGTGCAATTTCAATATTTTTTAATTTATTTGTAATGCCTTCAAGACTTCCAGCAAGTTTTCAGAATTGGTGACTTTGTTTATATAGGTTGATGGCCTCTGCAAAAACAAATATCACTTTAGATCATCATGGCATCTCATTTATTTTTATAGGCATTAAAGTACTAGCTTTGCATTTTAAAAATAATCTTGTGTAACTTGCTTGCATAGCTAGCCTTGTATTATTCTTGATTTCTTTTGGCAATAGAACATATGAAGTCTCAGTATGGTTTCTTCATTGTCTGTGAGTTGGAGTTGGGAAGTTGGTTATTTCCTTTTTTTCTTAAGAGTTAGGTTAGCTCTTAATTTAACATTGTGATGGAATTTTGCATAAAGCCAATGTAACAACTGAGTTAGCTCTTACTGTGCTTTCACTTAATGTCAGACATATAGTACTTGTGACAGAAAAGAATCAATAAATTCCCCCTTTTTAATACTTGAACATGTGTACTTTTATTATGATATATTAACCATGGAACTATTCTCCTTGTGTTTTAGTGCATTATATACTTGGCCAGATATATTCCTGCTTTGCTCATTATATAAACCGTGATCCCCAACCCGTGGGCTATGGCCCAGTATCAGGCCATGGCCTGTTCAGAACTGGGACGCACAAGTGGTGGACAAGTGCACACAGCTCCACTTGTATGAGCAGCACACACGTGCAAATGCTGCTCTTACCGAACCATCCCCTATTTCCCCCCCCCCAGTCCCCCAAGCAAGAAAGGTTGGGGACCACTGATCTAAACCACCTTATATCATTGTTTCCTTATGAACATGTGTCACAAATGAAAGTGAAATACCTTTCAACTCAAATTTGCTTGGAATAAATAAAGCAAAATAACCTTGAATACTTGAGAAAGGTGGGAAATAAAATTTAAAAATGCCTTAAATCAACTTCCAGTGGGCTTGCAGGATTCAAAAACATTGTTAGAACCTACCTAAATTATCTGCAAAGTATCATTTAAAGGCATGTGGTTTTTTTAAACATCCCATTTTAAATAGGAAAAAAAAATCCCGATAATTGGAAGTCCGCTTTGGTTGGAATGCAAAACCAATGCATGTAGTCCTCGACTTACAGGACAGTCAAGTGAGTTTTGCTCCATTTTACCACTTTTCTTGCCACAGTTAAGTGAGTCACTGCAATTAAGTCAGTAATAGTTAAGTGAATCTGGCTTCCTCATTGATTTTGCTTGTCAGAAGGTTGCAAAAGATGGTCACATGACTCTGGGACACTGCAACCGTCGTTAAGTACACAAAAAAAGAATGAATGAGCCTTTTAATTTTCATTATGAAAGGTAACCACAGCTGAAAATTTATTTCAACTAATTATCAAGCAATAAATTAAACAGTCACAATCTAAAAAACACACACATGCATTTTAGACAACCTATAAAATATACACAATTGGGCTGGGTGTAGTATCAAAAACTTTGAAGGGAAGGCCAAATCATGTTCAAAGGGGTGTGCAAACTTTCCATTTTGTACCCACAGGAGGCAGAACCTGCAAGATCCTGCCTGTGAAAACACTTATCATCCATAGGCACCTGACGTGCGACAGTAAAAAGCTAATCTTTAAGGAAGTCAAAGATCTCTTCACAGTAAACTCTACCCAGCTATATAATCAAGGAGCAAAACTTGAAACCATTCTAGTCTGAAAGACTAGCTTAAGTGTAGAAGATTCATGTGGCTATCTTTGGCATAACATGATGGGTCCAATTTGGGGTGGAGAGAGCAATGTGGGACTGGAGAAAGGCCAGGTGCTTTTTATTGAGTCTAGCCCAATTTTAGAGAGTGGGGGCTATACTCAAAAGAAATGAGGGCTAAATCCCAGTGGGAATTGTATGTTTTGCTCAAAAATCCTGCTTAAAATTGGCTTCACCAGTAAATTGGAGGAGTTTGAAACGAACCAAAGGGTTATATCCTTGCTATCTAGGAATCTTACAGGCTGGTATCGCTCTTGAAGAAAAATATTTCCCTACATGCTTTCTCTTAAGGTTGCTGCAAAGGTTTTAGTTTCCACATTATATAAGATTCCTGGGGAGGGAGAGTGCAACACTTACATCCTCTTTGAGGATCCACGTGAAGGATTATTTTATAGAGCAGTGTTGCTCAATCATGGTATATTTATGAAGTGTGGACTTCAATTCCCAGAATTCCCGAGCCAGCATGCCTGGGGAAGATTCAGCCTTTCCTCATCTGATTCCCACCAAATATTCTGACAGCTTCCATGATGCTTACAAATCGGCTATACTGACGGGAGCTTATGAGACCAGCATCTTCAGCTCACTGTTGGGGATGCTGCTTGGAAGCTGTCTTTACTCTTGCCCCACTAAATAAGATAATGCTTTCTTCCCTGGTGTCTCAAGATACTAAACCACTTGGCATGCAGAGTTTTGCCCAGTGTTAGGTGAAGAAGAAAAAATCTTGCCTGTCCATTTGTGTCAGTGAAGCCTGTTTACTATTATTCAGATGACACAAAAAGGCTTCCTTGAAGTCAGAATCAAGTTATCACACCAGAGAGGCATAATCAGGAACCAAGAATATAAGTATGAACAAAAAACGTTGTTCTTGTCACATCACCTTCAGAGGCAAAAGCTGGGAGGACAAGCAAGCATTTCCAGGTCCCTGACTTTTCCCTAGTTACCTCAAAAAATAGCATCTTCCCTATGTTCATAAATCTGAATCCTTTATTTTATTTTAAACTGGTTTAAGACACAGAGAAAGAATCTGAAAGTCACTTCATAGTGAGCCTTCCATTCTTTTCCCTTTATGCAAAACCTCGGCTTCGCAAAACAGGTGACGACGTTATAAATTCCAATCAAGAATTTAAAAAAAAAACAAAAAACCAGGCACTTTAATAAAATACATCCACCCCGGGTGTTGTGGCTGCTACAAGGTGATCAGGTGCAGTCAACTAGGAGAATGCACATTTCAAAATCAGATTGGATGCCTTGTTTTGGACCTTGTGTAAACCCAAGACTTCTTGTGCATCTGTTAAAAGCAGCCCTTGATTCTGACTTCAAGCAAGCCTGACCAAAAGATGCAGCTACTTTTAATAGCTGCTTTATTTAACACAACTATTGCTCATGCAGAAGCGTAAAAAAGGAGAGAGGGGGCTCTGTTCACATAATACCCAAAGCTTTCCTTCCCAATCATTTTTTAAATGCGCCCTGCCCCAGCAGGCTCTTCACACCTATGCAGATACTCCAACCTTCACCTATTTGGAGACTGTAGGTTCATGCTGGCTGAAAATTCTGGAATCTATAGTCCAAAATATTGGGAGCACTGGCTCACAGCCTGATGGTTCAACCACATTTCGCCTTCTCCCTCCCCAACACCCAAAAACATTATCAGGACTTTAAAACTTCAAGCTTTTTATATAGTTTTAGAAAATGAGGTAAAACATCTTGCCAAGAAAGGACATGCCGGAACCCACTGCCCCCCCCCCCCCCCCCCCCCGGGTTCCGTCCTAGCTGCAACGTTGACTATAACTGTCTTTGGTGCATTCCATTTGGCTGTAAGGGAATGAGGGGACCAGAGGGGGGGCGGGCAGAGTTCTTTATTGCCTATAGTGATTGCCAACGGGGCTGTAGGATTCTGTCCTTCAATGTCCCTAGGTGTAACCCCAAAGGCTTACTCTAGCAAGTGGGAGAGGTGGTGATAGGGCTATGCAGATAAGGAAGGCTGCTCGAAGTGGAATGCACGGCCACAGAGACTGGGAAACTGAAGACGAACTGGGACGTAGGTGTGGAGGAGCCCTTCCCCCTCTCTCTTAGCGTTCCTGAGGGGCTCACAGCCTCGGCAGCACACGAAGTGGTCAGCACTTGGGATTCAAACTGAAGCAGCTGACCCATGAAGCTGAAGTTTGGAGAGATGATGCTCCGTCGTTGCTTGACAAACTCAAAGGCCTCCTCGAGCTTGACTCGCTTCTTCATGATTAGGTAAGCCAAACAGATGGTAGCTGATCGGGAGATGCCAGCTTGGCAGTGCACCAGCACCCGTCCGTGACACACCTTAACAGCATCTAGGGGAGCAGAGCAGAAGCATTAGCGCATTTCACAACCCTTAAAAGTGCAACTCTGACCCAACTCTGGAGCTATGAGCCACAATTTCCCCGAGGCCTTGGAAATCTCGCCTGCCCTCACTTTATTTATTGGGTCGCTTTATACAGCCACCTTGATCAAATATCTACGCAGGACTCCTCCATGGGAGGCAAGCTATTTCTAAACGTAGTTCTAGGTGTGATACATGGTATTGCACAAAGCAACCTAAATTAGGTTGCAAATTTTATTGTTCATATCACAAGAATGGTGGAATGAATAGTGACTGGGAAGATCTCCCTCATTTGTTTCAGAAAGTAGATCTTTCCAAGAAACTTGGAGAATAGCTTCCTTTATTCAAGCTCAGTTCTGAATTGCCTGCAGAATTTTGTCTTGGTCTCAAATGATGCTCCTGGTAATACGCAAGAATTCTGCGGCACTCCTCCCTGAGTCAATTGGACTGAGATGGGTGGTTATACAAATCAAATGAATGAATGGCCAATCAACTAATAAAGCAGTGACAGAATGGAAGAAAATATATATATCTCTCTCCACATAAAACATACGGCTACAACTGGTAAGACCATACCTAGAGTACTGCATCCAGTTTTGGTCACCACATTATAAAAAAGCATGTTGAGACTCTAGAAAAAGTACAGAGAAGAGCAACCAGGATGATTAGGGGACTGGAGACTAAAACGTATGAAGAATGGTTACAGAAACTGGGCATGGCTAGTCTAGTGAAGAGAAGGACCAGGGGAGACATGATAGCAGTCTTCCAATATTTGAGGGGCTGCCACAGGGAGGAAGGGGTCAAGCTATTTTCTAAAACACCCGAAGGCCAGACAAGGAATAATGGATGGAAACTGAACAAGAAGAGATTTAACCTGGAAATAAGGAGAAACTTTCTGACAGTGAGAACAATCAACCAGTGGAACAGCTTGCCCTCAGAAGCTGTGGGAGCCCCATCACTTGAGACTTTCAAGAAGAGATTGGACTGCCATTTGTCAGAAATGATGTAGGGTCTCCTGCTTGGGCAGGAGGTTGGACTAGATGACCTATAAGGTCCCTTCCAACTCTGATTATCTGTTATCTGGAAAAAACTCAAAGCTCTGGAGTGGTGTGTCTATTAGTCCTATTATCAGATGTTTGAAAGTTGGGGAAACAGAGCTTTTAGTGCTAATGAAACTCTATTTTTCCCTCCCGCCGTGCCCAGAAACAGCACTCTGGGGCTTTTGTTCTGTTTGATACAGCAAAGGAGCAGATGTAATCGGAAGGCAGAAAGACTAGGCTCAAAGAGATCTAACTAACATGCGATAGTAAAGCTGTTGAGAATGTTGCTTTTTTTTTTTTTAAGAGTATTTGTGCTGTACACAAAGGAAGTGTCGCATCCACAAAAACACATGGCACGGTGTAAGCCCAAATTCTGTCAAACACTTTCTGAAGAATACAGTTCTAGGATTAGAAACTTGGGCTCTACAACTCGCATCCAATCGTGGCAGTCCATGTTCAAGGAGAGAGAGAGCTTTTTTCCCTGTGGCAACACCCCCATTTTTCGTATTACTCTCCAGCAAGACTTGATTGGTGCACACATTAGTGCCATTCAGGCAGCAGGTGAGAACCTATTTCCTCAGATTTAATTGGCTTTTCATTTGCATGCTTTTAAGCGTGGAATGACTTGCCTTGCAGCTGCCTAGTTTGTATGATGGCTTCTTTGGCTTTGTGTTGGGTGTGTACATGCGCACCCATGAGTCAGTCTTGACTCCTGATGACTGCCTGCTCAAGTAGCCGCAGTGTTCTTGGCAAGGTTTTTCAGAAGTGGTTTGCCATTGTCTGCTTCCCAAAGCTGAGGGAAAGGGAATAGGCCCAAGGTGGCTTTGTGCTTAAGTTAAGGCAAAAACTCAGTCTCCCACTTCTAACCTGATCACTACTCCAATACTTGATTTTATTATGTTTTTATTCAAATTTTTAGTATGCTTTGTTGTAAACTGCCCAGGATCTTAGTTATTAGGTGGCTTAAATTTAATAAAATAAAATGAAATCCAATCATTTCCACAAACATGCCATACTTTACCATGATCTCACCTATGTATTCGATGGCTTCCATGAACCAGGAGCTGATGTCAGTTTTGTGGTTATCTTCTACTGGGATGCACTTATATTGAAAGTGTCCTTCGAAGTGGTTGGGGCAGTCCGAGGAAACGTTTAATAAGGCCGTGATTCCCAGGGCCTCTAACATGTCCCTCCGAGCCGCATGATGTGCACTGCCAAGGAAGAGGAAAGGCAAGATTTCCACCGGGCCACCCTACGGAAAGAAGAAGAAGAAGAAGAGGGAAGAAATGAAAAAGAGGAGACAGTGTAAGAAAAAAAAAAAAACACAGGACCTCATGAACAAAACAACAACACACTGAACAGTGGTCAACATCTCGCCAATTCCTTCCAAAAGGACATCACCTGAACTTCTGTAGGCTCCTGGTCTAGATGCACATGGAGTGTTCTCCACTGGGAATTTTTTCTCTTGCTAATTTAATTTTTTTCACATTCAATTATGACTTGGTTGCACCTGCTCATCTATTTCCATATAGCTTTAGCTCTTCACTATTTCATAATTTAATTTTTAAAATATCATTTCTGTTTAGAGAATATTTAAATAGAAGATTAAATCTGAAGTTCGGCAACAAAGGAACTTGCCCGTCCTGCTAAGAAAAGATGGAGTCAAAGTCCAGATGCTCTCTGACCATTCAGAAAAAATTGCCCCAAACAGCCAACATCTACTTCATGGCTTCTTTTCACTAACCTCAAGATACTAAATATTACTCTCTAACTAAATTGTGCTTTAACTGTACAGACTGCAACATGTTCCTTCCACACCTATGTTTGTTTCAATCCAAAAATCAGAAACTGTCACCACACAGACTCTGTTGTTTGCAGTTAAATTACATTTCTAGATTGCCAACCACGAACTAGAGAAATTTGTTCTCTGATATTACCCATCATTGTTAATATTCAAAATCCTCCCCACCTCCTAAACCCAAACTGGGGGATCAATAGGTTTATATTCTGCACTTTGTAGTTAAGATGACAGAACAAAAACGGGTGCTCGCAAAAAATGCCTGCCTAAATTTTATTTAGAAGTGCCCGCATGCTGAGTCACAGTGAACATGTAACTCCTAATCAGGTTTTTGGACAGACAGCACTGTGAAACATATACCCAAGGCTCCATATCAGTTGCTGACAGCAAGGGGAAAAATGCACATTTACTGCCCTTCTCCAAATAAACTTTCGTACCTGCTAGCAAATAACTTTGGAATGCACTTTATCACTTCCTTAATGACAGTACTGTTGTTTTTTGTATGTAACTCTAACTCATAACTCTAACTCGGCACTGCAGGTTTGGTTGTGTGTGCTAAGCTCAGACCAAGCCAATACAATGGCCTGCTGTACTAGCAGCTAGAAAGGGTTTCATCAATCATCACTGGATTCCTCCACTTGAACTATTTCAGGATTGAGATCTGCAGAAGATAGCAATGGCACTTAGTCTTATATGTACCGCTTCACAGTGCTTTTACAGGCCTCTCTAAGCAGTTTTCAGAGTCAGCCTATTGCCCCCAACAATCTGGGTCCTCATTTTACTGACCTCGGAAGGATGGAAGGCTGAGTCAACCCTGAGTCGCTCAGATTCGAACTCCTGGAGTGAGCAGTGAGTTAGCCTGCAATGCTGCATTCTGCGCCACCACGGCTTTTTATCAGAAATGAGGGCAAGTCTGTTTCACTATTGTCTCTGGATAACCTGGACAACTCTCTTTAGCCTACATGGATTACAAGGAATAAGCTGTTCTTATTGCCTAATTTCTGCTACACACATGGCTTGAAAAGGAATTTCACTGCCTCTTTGTCAGTGTGTAGATTTGTACATTCCTTGATTATAATAGTCTTAATCTCTTCTTGAGGGAAACGTGTGTAACAAGCTTACTTGCAGAGAGTTAAAGCTAAAATAATTTCATTCTAAAATTATGGATTTGGGAGATAAAAGTACCTCCCTCTCCTGTCCCTGAACATGATAGTCACTGAATACATTTTCCTTTTTGGAAAGTATGCAGGTTTATGGCACCTGAACCTTAAAATACTTGTGGGCTAGAATTTCTCCTACTAGGCAAAGAAAGCTCACTAAGTTCCAATCAATCAATCAATCACAAAGATCATTCACCCTAAAAATTACACAAAGAACTCTGTTAGTGAACCAGTGTTTGCCAGAATCAAAGCCATCTTAATCAAAGCAATCCTAGACTTTTTGTTGATGCTGTTGTAATTAAGATACTTTATGTTTAATAGTTAGTACATCTACATAAATGCACTATACACACACACAAACACACCTTGATGTAAAATAACATACATCTGCTGTATGATTTTTGGGTTGCAAGTTATTTTACCTCAAGTTTCACAACTGATTGAAATCAGTTGTACCTTTTCTGTTCTTAGCTTCTTTGTATAAATATCTGGATCTAATCAGACAAGCCAAAAGGTAGCTTGCAACACAACATGAAGAAGAGTCTAGAAGACGTTATGAAATACCCTGCTCATGAAGCCATGTTTTAATTTTATTGATTCAATCTCTATCAGCTGCAGGACAAAACTCATACAATCCAGGTAATCCTTGCTTAATATCCAGCCGCTTATCAACCATTCAAAGATATGACGGAATCCCACCCCCAAAGTTACAACCCTTTCTCAAAATTAGGAGTATCACATACCCCTGTAGTCATGTGATGTTCCATAGGGCAGGGGCCACAGTACAAAAGGGACGCTGCCTAGGTCCCATCAGAGATAAAACTGCTTAGTAGATGAGACCGATAGCATACCTCTGCTGCTCAACCTGATGAAATGGGTAGATGTAACGAGGAAGCGGTAGTTCCTCAAATATTCGTCCCAGGGCATGTAGGGCTTTAAAGGTCAAATCCAGCACCTTGGATTGCACCCAGATGCAAACCGGCAACTGGCTGAGCTCACGAAAAAGAGATGTAATTTATGCCATACAAAGGCAGACATAACGGTTCAGCCGCATTCTGCACTAGCTAGAGCCTCTAAATACTTTTCAAGGGTATTACAGCGTATTACAACAATTAATTCTAGAGAGGATCATGGCATGAGTAAATACGACTCAGGGCACAAGGAAGGTTGCATCTGGAACACAACAAGAAGTTACACATAGCTAGCCCTCCTAGCTATGACTGCCACCTGCTCCTCCAGCAGGAGTCATGATTCTAGGATCCCCAGATAACGCACCAGGTCTGTTTGGCCAGTACCACTCCATCCAACACCAAAGAGGATAAAATTCCAGATCCAGAAAGGCCTCAAACCCTTGTAAACCTCGAAATCCTCCTTTCCAAGGAGAGCTCTGGTCACCACAAAGACCTCTGGGTGACCATTAGCTTGGGAGACCGAATCAAGAACCAGAGAGGCTGGTACAGCAGCAACAATCCCAACTGATTCCCAACATCAGGAACAGGGTCTCACTTCATACCCCTTATGCCCTTGACTTAATTTGGCTCTCTAACTCTAGAGCAAGGGTATTGCATTGTCATGTATGTACCGGGACTTCTTTCCCCTTTGCTAAACCAGGCATGGGCAGGGCCAGCACGTGACACATCTGGCCCGCAAGTTTGACACCCCTACTCTAGAGCCAACAGTGCTTCCCAAAATAAACCATATCTAGCCTGCACATCTTCATTAGGAGGCCAAGACACAAAACAAGGGTCCAACCAAGAACATCAATGCATGATTCACAGGTCCTGCCCATTTTCTTGGTTGGGCTAAAAAGCGCATGCAGGGATTTACAGATTTGCATCACTACGCACCCATCAGGAGCACACCTGAATCTCTCATTTCAAAAGCAGAAGCGAAGAAAAGGAAAAGTGCAATAAAAATATTGCCATTTCTCAATTAGATAGATTTGTCTTCCCATTTCACTTCAATTGACAACAAATTACCCAGAGCTTTCTGGTCAACAATGCTGTGCGGAGGGAAAATAAACTTACGCTGTTTGTGACCACACAGCAAGTAAGTTCCTTTGATTTCCCTCTAGTGCTTCACTATACTGCTAAATTTATATTGCCCAATATGAACAATGTCATGGTTAAATTTTGGAGCAGATGGGAAAATCTAGAGTTACATCCCCACTTGACTGGATGCTTGAGGACCAATCTAGATCTCAGGTCAAACTATTTCACAAGGTGAGATACAATAAAAGAGGAGAATCCTCCACAATATTAGAGAACAGTACAACAACTTGCCCTTATGGATTTGGAGAACCTGAAATTCCAGCCCGTGTGTTCCTCCAGTGTCCTTTCTACAACTATGTGTGCTCAACTCTCATAACTCTATTAGCTAACAGAAGTTCCATCAGTTCTGAAAATGATTTTGTTTGCTTCGTATTACCAGTTCAGAACCTTAACATCTCCGGAAGGATTGCGAAACTTCCTACAGCTGCCATTGCTGTACGCAGAAAAATACCGCCTTCATTTTAGGATTTTATAACTATAAAAAACACATTTTACCTTGGATGCTGTTCTGCATCACCTATGACTCACCACCAAGCCCGATTAAATCAACCTCAAGAGGAGAACCTCTGTATATATCACCAGAGGGATATGGATGCCATCAATAAATAAAAGGAAGCCTTTTGCCTCAGACAGCAGACGGCTTTGAAGCATAGAGAAAAGCCAGCCTACCTGATCATGCTGTGGTGTCCCACAGGAACTGCAGCTATGGTCCAGATGCTCCACGGGTGCCAAAGTAGAGGCTGTTGTAAGAGATTTTGTCTTTGTGCAGAGTTCTGGATATTCTGACTGGAATCTTTCGTAGCCACCTGAAAGTAAAAAAGAAAACATACAAAGTGGTGGTGATCATTTACAAGATGCTACAGATTTATTCAACTATTACCAAAGCACAAGGAGACACAGAGGCCGGCCCACCTCCAACATATGCACAACATGCATAAATGTGTTTTCAGACTTGCATACTAAATGGCCATCGCCACAGATGTTTGCTTAAAAGCAGAGGAAGAGATAATGCCGCAGCACAGTGGCAATGATATGACTCACTTTAACAAAAGAGACCACAAAGTCAAGGAAGTTCTGGAGTTTTTAATGACACTGTAAACCTGTTCATGACATTTTCTTGGCAATAGTATGAAATCTTCTTGTGGAACTTTTGACTTCCTACAACCTAGGATTTTTCCCTGGTGATGTCCCATACCAATTAATCAAGGACCCTAATCAGGTCTAACCGTGCATGACTTCCTAGACTGACTAAAACTAGACAGTTTTAGCAGAAGACTGGAGTTGCACTCAAGACTTGGCACAAGTGTCTTCAAAAGACCTGCAAGTTAATATTACTGATACAGATCCCTAATTCCCCTGCTCATTTCCCATCTGTTATATTAGTGCTTTGGAGGAAAAACAAGCTTCTATTTGCATTTATACAAAGCTGGCTTTGACTTCAAAAACAATTAGCTGATCTTATGGCTGCAGAGACAAATCAAATATGAAATGAAGACATGGGTCACACCACACTGGATAAAATAGAGGACAAAGAAAAAAGGCTCAGATCAACACGCTCTACTTTATTTGAAACCTTCTGACTGCTGGCTATGGTTAACTGTGGTTTCTATTCAATGAAAGGAATCCTTGGTTAATCTATAGAGGCATTTATATACAAAGGAAATATTGAAGAGCTGTCGAAGCACAACAGCCAAAGAAATCAAAAGGACCAGAGACCAAGAGAGCTATAATGAAAGCAACAGCAATCAACTGGCACACCAGGAAACCTAGTACAGCATATAATAAAATATTTAGTACTACTATTGGTAGTCAAATACAATTTCTAAAAATGTTCTTTCACAAAACTAAGCATTTGAGAGAATAATAAAAAAACTCAGGGGAGTGCAGAGGAATGAAATGTGCTTCACTGTTGGCAAAAATTAAACGTAGAGCTTCCCTCAAAGGTAATTCTCTGGATATGCCCATGTTTGCTTGGCACCATTGCAAATGAGGTTGGCTACATTCTTCCAAATTACTCTCTCTTCTAACATCACTGACCACCTTAAAACGGTTGCCCAAATCAGGCTTGTAGTTGACCAGTGGCAATTAGTACCAACCTTTGGGAATTTGGCCTTATATTTCAGAAAGTGTGAGAGGGAAGTGCCCACTTTCCCAATTTAATTTTATTTAATCTTTTTTAATAGTCCAACTAATTAATGGCTGGTTTTTTAGGAAGACAGCAAAAAAAAACAAACAGCAAAATGTCATCATGTGACATCAGGATTCTATAACCTTTTGTAAATCCAAGCCAATTTCCTGCAATGCAATTACATGACCGTGCAGCAGTTGTAACTTCAAGGATGACTCATAAGTAACTTTGAGCTTGTCATAATTTTGAATGGTCATTAAGCAACTGTTTCTAAGTTAAGGACTACCTGTACTCTAAAAACACAATGAAACTGAGTGCGTGGTCATGAATGTTTGGTTACCAAGGGATTGGTGATTTCATGATTGTTGGAAGGTTACCAAGGAACCTACCGTGACTTAGTTTACATTTCAAACTTCATTTGAACCAAGCCTACTTTTTTGGTGTCTTTTTTTCACCTCTCACTGCTTTCCTTCCCACCATGTACACATAGCTGTAGCTAATATTATTCATTCATCTACCTATATTAAGCACCTCCCTCCACCCCAAGCTATGTTACTTTCTAACGTGCCAAAAGGTTTTGTTTTAGTTACCATACCAATTAACATGATTATACTTCTGGAAAGTTCACAGCAAATTTGTTAACACAAAATCCTCTTAAAGTTCATTTTCTACTTCTGGAGTCACTAGTCAATAGTGAATAGGCAGCATACAAATTTAATAAATACTCCACCAAAAATTTGCCAAACTAGAAATCCCAACTTCTGGGTCAATTTTGTTCATACAATTTAGAAGCTGCCTGACTCCAGATGGCAACAAAATAGAAAAACAAAATTTTTGTGTCAAAATGATTACCAAATTCAATGAGTTTCAAAGGAGCTGAGTACCAAAGCACTATTCTGTGTGTGTGTGTGTGTGTGTGTGTGTGTCCGTCCGTCCGTCCTGGGAGAACACTCAAGATGCACAGACCAACCTACATGGCCTGCAAAAGATCACCTGCCATGTTAGGACCTGGGGCTGGTCAGCAGTATGTCTTTCAGAGTGATGGTGAATGTGTTACTTTAAAACCTTGTCAGGTAATTGGCTACATGTTAGGCAGGCTTGTCCCAGACTTTCAGAACTAGATCAGGATAGAAGCCATTCTGGGGGAGAGCAGTTCCAGAGGGCATGTCCTGCAATCGAGCAGCCATGCATCCTAAACTCTAATAGATTATCTTGTTTGATCAAGAGAACCTGGTGAGCAGAAACCGTCAAGGAAGGATGGTCCCTCAAATAACCAGGCTGTATGTCATGAAAGGATTTATAGGTGATAGCCAGGACTTTGTAATGCACTTGGAAGTCAACTGGCAACCAGTACTATTTGCAAAGCAGTGGTGCCCTGTGGTCATGACATAGCATGCCATCACTGCTCACACCTCCGCATTCTGGACCAGGTGTAGCTTTTGGGTGGTATTCAAGGGCAGTCGAATATAAACTGCATTGCAACTGTCCATTTTTGGAGTGGTTAGGACATGAGTGACCATGTAAAAGCATCCTGAATTAGAAATGGGCACTACAGACACATTAGATGAATGTTTTCAAAGGCCTTCTTGGGTAAAGTTGCCTCTTGCTTTCAAAGTATACACTAGTGTCAAACGGGAAAGTGTTACTCCATCCAGAACTAAAGATTGAAAATCCTGGGAACTGAGGAATCCAAGTATCTACCAGTACTAGTTCTTGTTAGGATTGAGCCCAAGTCTGATTTGAACAACCTCCAGACACTGCCCTCCATACAGGACATGGACCATATCACGTGGATGGCTCTCTATCAAGCCATATCATTAGGTATCATCCCCATGCTGGTCATATTGAACTCCCAAATGACAGGTTAACTCACCCAGAAGTATCATGCAGATGGTTAAAGACAAAAGTGACTTTCGACCTGAGACATTCTGCAAATAACAGGCTGTGGTTATGATCTCTTCCTTCCATCAATACCCATTGCAACCAACAAATCAGCAAGAACCACCATAATACGGTGCCCATCATTCTCAGCTGGACCATGATTGATGCTAGTGAAAGCTGCTGAGAAATGATGGAGCATAAGGATGGACACACCACCCTCGTCTGAGTTCTGCCAAATGTCATTAACAAGAACTCTCCAAATTGTTATTTTATCTTCCCAGGGACAGCAAGTTTTACCATTCATACAGAACTGAAATGCTCTTTACCACATGAATTTTTAGTATGAGTAATTTCACCTTGTCCTACAGAAATACCCGCAGTGAGAAGGCTTTTAAGTGCAAGGCCATCATCCTTCTTCTTCCTCCATTATTTTATTTATTGATTTATTAAATTGTTTCAGCTGGTCCAAGGATCTTAATGGATCAAGGTTTCTTGGTACATAAGCCACAGGAGACGTTATAATAAAAGTGGCTAAAATGCACATAACAGTAGGGTATTCTATGAAGAAGGCTGATCCAGGAAAATACTTTGCATTCTCTTGGTTAGATCTCAATTAAAACAGTCAGGTTTTTCCCCAAAACCTATTGGAGGAAGCTAGAAAAGTAACAGGAAAGACACCCTTCCTCCCCAGTTCTGAAGCTTCTGTAATGCTAAATGTAGCAATTCCCCTTAAAATTTTGAAAGAATAAGCATCAGGAAATATTTTCTATCAACCTCAGAGTTTGTAGGAACCCTACCACTGACAAGATCTTTTTGCAAAAATGCACTATTCCCAGAGCAGTAAGCTAAAAATAAATTGCATTGAATTGTTCAATAGAATAGACTCCCAGTGTGGGAAAAAATCTTGAATTTAGATAAATAAAAAGTAGGACTATATGCGTTCCAAGGCTAAATGCAAAATGACACCTTTCCAGTAAGGTCCATATTCTGGACATGCCCAAACCAAACATGGAAACCAAAGTTAGGTAAATTAGTCAAATGTTCATAATTCTAGCTTTGTTTAGCATAGCCCAGGAGAAGCCAAGGCCACCATGAAACAACAAACTAAATTCTAAAGAGGCACCTGATCCTCTATAGTTGGTTGAGCCTATAAAGAGCTTAAGCAGTCTTCCACTTTCCAAGCCCCCACTCCCAACCAGTTCCAACTTTAGCAGACATTTTTTTCAGCAAAACTGCATTGCAACATCAAGCATTTTCAGGAATCAGAAAGACACGAGGCTTCTATAAGGGTTGGGAATTAACTACAAGAATTCCAACTATGGGAATTGGGTAATTAGATAACAAATGTTACAACTTAAAGCCCCAATCTTCTTAATCATCTATTATTTCAACTGAAGCGAAACACAAAGGAAGCCAAGATGCAAAAAGAACTAATCAGTTGTCAAATGAGTACAAATGCCTTTTGAAATTGATCAGTGGTATTGGTTTATTTTGACTTTTTGTCTGCTTTAAACACAATTTTCTAGCCTTAAAAGCCAGAGAATTGTCCCATGAATCATTTCTATTTTAAGAGAGCCTCCCTTATATTAGAGATTATAACCATTTATCTCAAGATTCCAGTTTCATGTTTTTTTTTATCATCCACTATTAGTTTCAGTAATTAGCAAATCTGATTAAACTGTAGGGCTTTCTGTTCATCTATAACACAAAGTTTTGAAAATGTTTAAATTATAATTGAGGGAGCTGTCTTTCCGATGTCGCTCAGAAGGAGCCATAAAATAAATCCTATTCTGAGCTGGAATATTTTGGTGAGGGCTATTTAGGGACTCAGCAGGGGGAAGGGGTGACTTTTCCAGAGAAGCCCATAAAAACTTCCTTCCAGAGGATACAAATACATGGCCTGGAGCCATGGCACTACCCCTACAGATAAAACGTAGGGCTACTTCCCACCACTGCCACCCTTATTCTCATGCATTCCTAAGGGGAGAGGCCATTTGGGGAACAATAAAACAGGATCTCTCACCCTTTTCCCTTCCACCCACCCAAAGCTTTTGTAATTCAAAAGGTCACCAGCTGCCTTCAGAATACAACCAGCTAATAAGTCAGATGGGCAGGAAATACCCCCCTCCCCTACCGCCTGGTTTCCTTGGGCCACACCCAAGCAAGAAATGGGAACTAGCTGAGGGGCAAAGATTATAAGGGAAACCATTATTAATCAAAGCATGAATTGTTGCTAACTTTTTGTCCCAACACCTTAGATAACCCAATTCCATAACTGAATAGTTTTTCTCGCTCTGGGTTAATTTCCTAGCTGCTTTTCTCACATACAGCTATACGTATAACTAGTATTACTGCACGACTACTACTGTTAATCTTGTCATCAATCCTTATCACCCACCCCCTCCCGCTTGTGACTGTATGACTGTAACTTTATCGCTTGTATCCTTACAATTTATATTGACTGTTTCCTAGTGTAATTGATTGCTTATTGTATCCTATAACTATCATTAAGTGTCGTACCTTATGATTCTCAACTCCTGACAAATATATCTTTTCTTTTATGTATACAGAGAGTATTTGCACCAAGACCAATTCTGTTCTAGTCTATAAAAAAGGCCACATCCTGTTGACTGCTGGACTATTTACTTTCCTTTGAGGGCAATTTGACTGGAAAGCTCCAAGAATTGACAAACAGTGTGACCCGCCCCCCACCCCAAGCCATTTTCTTCATAAAATTGATCAATAGAATTCTTTTATTGGCCAAATGTGATTGGACACACAAGGAATTTGTCTTGGTGTAAATGCTCTCTCTATACACAAAAGAAAAGATTTTCTAAAATGGCCTTCTGTGAAAACGCTCCTTTTGTGGATTAGGAACACAGTCCCACCTTCCTTGGAGGTTCTTTCCTGACTTCTTAGCCAAGCCATGGGGCAGAGAAAAAAAATATCTGAGAAATTAGGGGAGGTCAGAAACCTCTACCTCAGAGGTCTCCAAACTTGGCAACCTTAAGACTTGTGGACTTCAACTCCCAGAATTCTCCAGCCAGCAATGCTTTTGCAGCTATGCTGGCTGGGGAATTCTGGGAGTTGAAGTCCACAAGCCTTTAAAGTTGCCAAGTTTGGGGACCCCTGCTCTAAGTGAAATGAGTCTGCAGGAAGTGGTCTTTCCTTTGGGGGCGGGGGGTGGGGTGTTGGTCCGGTCTGAGAAATTCTCTCGAGGAGCTTCGACTTCTGGTTTTCTAGCAACGGGCGTCCTGACATTGTTGCCCCGCAGCCCGAGTCAGGTGGCTGGCGGGCGGGCGGGCTGAGGGGCGCCAAGCCAAGCGAGGGAACAGCCGCGGGCCCTTGGCGTCATCGCTGCTCAAACCACGCCCGACGGAAGTGAAGAAGGGCGTGAGAGGGGACTGACACGCGGCTCACACGTTGTGCCCTTCGAATGGATGGGATGGGGACCTCCTCCTCCTCCTCCCTTTCATTCCGCCCCCGGCAGCGCTCCACTGGCGAAGTCCTTTGCAAGCCAGCAGAGAGACGGAAAAGGAGGGACGGAGAAGCGGGGAGGTGGGAAAGGGCCCGACTCGAAGACTTGTCTCGGCCCTCCTCCACCGTCGCAAAGTGGCGACGGCGGGGTCCTTCCAGTTCACCCCAACCCTTGGAGAGTGCTGCGTATTCCAAATCGCGAGGGGTGTGGGGAACGGAGGAACATACTTAAGTGGCCTTGTCCTTCCCAGGCTGTGCGAGGATTTAAACCCCGGGGACCCCCCCGCCCATTCCCACACCGGCCTTTTTAAACCCATCATCCGCTGGGTGATCTGGTTCAAGCTGGGTCCAGCGTACCGGGAAATGGGGTTGAAGGGTCCAAAGGCCTGACCTAACTCCGGGGCTAAATTCGTGCGCACCCACCCTTACCTTTCAGCAAGCAGATGTTGGTGTGCTCCGCGTCCTTGCGCAGCGCCCGCACCACCAGCGACACGGTGCTGTCCTCCCGCAAAGATTCGGCCCGCGGGCTCCGCTCGTCGTACACCACCACGGCCGAGTAGAGACCCGAACGCAGGCGGGAGCGCGCCTCGTCTTCCGCCGGGAGGATCTGCTCCAGGCTGACCGACCCTTTGGTCCGCCGTCGGACGATGGTGTTGCACCTCACGTTGAGCGCGCCGCGGATGTGGCCGGCGCTGTGAGCGAGGAAGGGCCTGCAGTCCAAGAGGAGGCACTTCCCGCCAGCGGGAGGAGTGGAGGAGCTGCTACTGGTGCCGCCGTTGCAGTCCCCCCGGTGCAGGAGGTGCCGAAGCACGTTGCAGTCCATCTCCCGGAGCTCCACCATGGCTGCCGGCTTGTGTGCAGGCTCTCCTTCCTGGCCCGGGAAACGGCTAAGGCCTTAGAACATTTTGGCTCCCGCGCCGGATCAGGCTCAAGTCATTAATAACGGAGCTGGCTGGTAGTGGCAATACTCCCCGCACGCCGGCTCGAGTGCGGGGGAGGATTCCTTTTACTACCTGGCTCCGCCCCCCACATCCTCTCCTCTCTCCTTTCCCTTCTCTCCGGCGGCCGGCCTCATTCTTGCTTCTCTCGCCGTGAATGGAACGCCGCCGGAGCGACGTCACAATGAGGAGCGGGGGGGTGGGGGAAGTAAACGACGCCTCGGCGCTTCTGTTCGCCTTCATTCATTAGAAAGCTTACAGCAAGGCGGGGTTTATGGCCGTTTCTTCCTCAGAAGCGGAACGTTATTTACTTTCGGCAGCCGCCGGCTTTAAGGGAAAACGCGGCGCGTTGGGGCGCTGATGAAAGGAGGGAACGGTTCACTCAGGGTTGACCTGGCGTCCATCGATCGACAAGCATGCGGCGTTTGTGGCGGCCCCGAACCTCTCCCAACAAGCTTTTGACTAGCATTGTGTATGCTGGTGTGTGGCCGTAATAAAGATTGGTTTGCCGATTGTTCATAAAACAATTATATAATTCTAGTAAAAAAATCAAAAACACGCCAATTAGGAATCATTTCACGGGGCCCCGCTATAATATACAATAAAACTTGCAGGCACTCCTCTTGCTTTGCCTCAGTCTTTTATTTTTAGCTGCCAGGTTTGGTGATTAAACGAACCTGAGATTCAGTGATCTGGATTCTGCCCTCCCCCCTCCAAAAAACCCTCTCAGGTGCATGGATTTAGCTCACAATTACTAATTTAAATGATCTTCCCTGTAACCTTTCTGGATACCTTCATTTGATTTAAAATGCACAAGCATTTGTAGAGTGGGCCTCTTGTGAATCACATAAGATTGAATCACATAGTTCACATTCAGTACTAGGAGGAAAAGAGGGCGATTGGGAAAAGAAGTGACCTTGTCATCTTTGAACGGTTGTGGTTTCCTGTTGTACTTCTGATTTGTCATCTCCTTTTGTAGCAATATTTTATCATGGGTGTAACTATTCTAAGGGCCTCATCAAAATAGGAAAACTCTCATTAAAATCAGTGGGCCATCAAACATCTTAAGAGCAGAGTTGGATTTTCTCCCAGATTGAGTTCAATAACAAAATTCTGCAGACTTCTCTCCGTGGTTTTTTTAATCTATTGTAATTGAAATTAATTTTATGTGTGGGGGGGGGGGAGTCCAGGGCAACATTCTTTCCTTTCCCAGCCCATAGCCCTGAATTCTAAAATAACATGCTATCCAACTATTTATTTGATAGTTTTCTATTCTGCTCAAAAAGTATTGAACAAAACTAGTTGATCCCAGATCTTCCAAAACAGCTTCAAAAGGTGTTCTTTGGCTAAATTTTTCTAATGGCCAAGAATTATAAGGATGCTTTCAACATCAGTTTCATAACATCCATCAGATATTCTCTCTCTACCACCCCACTCTGTGTGTGTGAGAGAGAGAGGGGGGGAGGGGGCATGTGTGTGTGTGAGAGAGAACACAGAGACCTGTGTCTTTCCTGAGGGTGTAACTTTAACTATTGAGGCAATTGAAAAGTTCGTGTGGATGTGTAATAGTTGCATATTAGGAAGTCATGTGCATTGCCAAAGCAATATGTTACTCTCTCTCTTATACAACATAAACAATAATTACCTTGGGGATTTGTATTGCCATTTCAAAGTGAGTTTCCATTCCACACCTAGTAATTATAATGTGTAAGGCACTCTCAGCAGTCTCTCAGGGAAAGTAAGAAAGGTGTGTGTGGGAAAGGAGGTGAACTTCTCTTTCAAACATGAAGATGAACGTATTTAAATTGCCAATTTGAACTGGCTTTCCCTTTTTTTAAGGTGTCTGGTTAACTCAATTATAAACACATGCACAGTGATGGGATGTGCTTTCCAATTACACCTGTAAATCCAGTGAACCTGAAGTCCCCTAGTTTTAAAAGGGGAAGTAAGTGTGCATCTAATTGTGTCACTGAAGTAAAGATATATTCATGTTTCCTTGGCTAAATTAGCTTAACCCTGATCTGGTGATTTCCAAATATGTTAAACAACATAGACATTAGAAATTATGAATGGAAGCACCAAATTGAAGAAGATTGGTTTAGGAAGCCCCCAGGTTTCTTCTATATAATATATGTCTTTATTTTTTAGAGCTTATTCTTGAATTTCAGTCTGCTGTTTTCTCCAACCATCTTCCAGATACAATCCTTCATGCCTTTGCAAGATGAGATCCAATAATATGCATTTCAGCATTCACAATTTAATATACACATATGAATGTCTTCAGTTTGATCCAGAGGTGATAGTCAGCAGGTTCTGACCAGTTCTGGAGAACCAGTAGCGGAAATTTTGAGTATTTCAGAGAACTGGCAAATACCACCTCTGACTGGAGATTTTACAGTATCCTTCCCCTGCCAGGCCCACCAAGCCACGCCCACAGAACCGGAAGTAAAAAAAAATGAATCCTACCACTGGCTTGATCCAGCTGGTTATATATTAATGTTCCAGGTATAGTACAATAGTTCTGCTCTTAATTCTTTGCATATTGGGGTGAAAGTAAATCTAACTGAATTCAGTTCACTATATGAAATCAGTGTCTGAATCATGTCCATTGTCTAGCATATGAGATCAACTTGTCATTGTTCTTCCTAAAATGTGGTTTTTCAGAATGGAAGTCAGTATGCTAGGTATTGTCCGAGCAATGCAAAATCTAAAGGAAAGGATGATTTGTCTAGATTTTGACTTGTTTATGTAGGCTAGGATTGCATTTGCTTTTTTTGCAGCAGCATCACATTGTTGGCTCATGTTCAACAAAGGATCCAGCAGGCCTTTTTTTTTTGCACTTCTCTTTTTTCTGTCCCTGACCAAGAAGGGTATCACCATACATTATTTTTATCATACAACCAGAATAAAAATATATTCTGGCAGGTATCAATTCATTGGGACTCTGAGAGGCATAGACTTAAGAACAAATGCAATTTTGAACTCAAAGGCTCATGTGATCCTGTGAACTACAGCCATAATCCATGCAGTCTGACGTGCTTTCATTTCTGGGCTGGCCATATGTTTTGACCTTTCCCTTTGCATATCTCTCAACTCCCAGCAATTGGGTCAATCTTTTTGAAAATCAAATGTTTATCTTAAAGGCCATTCTGAGACTTGTACGCACATGAAATTGAGTCCCAGTACTAAAACAGGATGTCACATCAAGGAAGTAAAAACAAGCTATTTTACTAAGTCATGGGAACCGTGACTTCAGCTTGACATTTTTTTAAATGCAAGGATATATCCAGTGCTCATTATTGTAGAAAGTTAGCACCTACCCCTCTCCTAGAAAAGTGAAATATCCTAGGAAATATTTAAAAGGCTGAATATTTCCCCTAAAAAGAGTAGAAACTGAGAAGCAGAAACTCCCCTCAGAAGTAGAAGCTCATCCCCCCACCTTTGTTAATTGGCAGGCCATTAAGGCCTCGGCCAGAGTATTCTGCATAACAAAGGCCTCCACCCATCTCACCACCTGGCTTGGGAAGATTGCATCAGCCATCACTCAGGTGAAGCCATGTGGTCTAGATAAAGCCTACAAAGTTAGCTAAGACCCCAGCACCTGGGAGTTGGACAGCCAATGTGATACATTTCTTACACAGGAACAGGAAACACTGAAGTAGGGCCCAACAGAGGGTATATAACTAAGGGGCTCTCAGCATCTTGGCCCTTCTTTTCCTTCACCCAACATCTTGAAGCATGTGGTCATCCTTTTCACTGGAGCTCCAAGCCATGTGGTCCTGTCCACCATTAAACCATCTTTCCAAACAGCCTCCATGTTTCCAGTGTCTTTGAACTTGGAACTGAACTCAGAAGGATATTTCTTCTAACATTAACTAAGGAATCCTTAAAGGATTTGGAAGTTCCTAATACTTGCACATTGGGAAAAGTGACTTTGTTTGCAGCAGAAGGCAGTTCTGCACATTATTACAGTGATGAAATATAGTATTAAAAAGAATAACAGCAGCAGTAACATCAAAGATTTCAAAGCTGTTTTTAAGAAATAAGGTCAGGCAGGAGGAACATTTGGCGCATTTGAATACATAAAGTATTTTAATAATATAAATGTTAGAATGAATAGTTTCCTGGGCAATTTCCTTTTCCAATAGATTTTGACTCCACCATGCCATCACCTTGTGACATTGTCCCTGTGCTGGCTTATCCAAAGGCTGTTCTTTGGGGACTGTCAAGAACCTTGTTTTGAGCAGTTCATGCTGTCTCAAGCCAAGTAAATAGCTAGCCAACCATGACTGATCTAAACAAGCTTAGTGTCAACTATAAAATGTGTATACAACGTGTATACATTGTCAAGGGTGACAGTGAATTATGTATCTCAGAGTTGGCTACACCCAGGTTAGTGCCGGACGTAGAATGTTACCTTCAAATAAATCCTCTTTAGCTTTGGGAGTGTGGCTCGAGGCTCATGATTTAATTGGAGTAAGTGCCGGAACCCTGACACTTAGCAGATTTGAGCCTGTTTGTGAGAATGAGAATCCCAGCAGATTTGGGCCTGTTGGATGAGAATCCCAGGACTGTAAGCTAGGCTGAATAGCTGAAAAATCCTTATGGTTGCCAAGAAAACAATATGGTCAAAAGAAGTCACCAAGAATTGGCTTCATTTGAAAGGGGCATTGCAAACCAAAAACATTCTTGATGTAAAATACATAAACAAACACAGAGAAGTGTAAATAGTTAACAAACCCAGAAAAAATGCAACCCATTTTTATCTCAACACTTGTCCAGGTATTTAGTATTTAGTGTTTATTTGATTTGTCAATTGCTTACAAGATACAGGTATAAGAATAAACATAGTTTTGAATACATGAGATAGATACTTATAAGAAAAATAAAAAGAAACAATAGGACAGGGATGATAGGCACGATTGGTGCGCTTATGCATGCCCACTACAGGCCTCTTAGGAAGGGGGTGAGGTCAATAGTGGACAGTCTAAGGTTAAAGTTTTGGGGGTTTGGGGAAGAAACCACAGTCAGGTAGAGTATTCCAAACATTGACCACTCTGTTGCTGAAGTCGTATTTCCTGCAGTCAAGTTTGATGCGGTTAACCTTGAGTTTTTATCTATTGTGTGCTCTTGTACTGAAGCTGAAGTATTCACTTGCAGGTAGGACATTGCAATGTATGATTTTATATACTATATTTAAATCGGACCAGAGGCGGCATAGTTCTAGGTTTTCTAGGTCTAGAGTTTCAAGTCTGGTGGCATAAGGTATTCTGCAATGAGTAGAGGAGTGGAGAAGTCTTCTTGTGAAATATTTCTGGACTTTTTCAATTGTGTTAATATCAGATACATGATATGGGTTCCAGACTGATGAGCTGTATTCGAGTGCTGGTCTAGCAAATGTTTTGTATGCTCTAGTTAGTAGTGTGATATTACCAAAGAAAAAGCTACATAGGATTAGATTAACAACTCTTAATGCCTTTTTGGCTATGTAGCTACAGTGGGCTCTAGCACTTAGGTCATTTGATATGAGTACTCCAAGGTCCTTGACAGACTTTGGATCCTCAACAAGGTCTTGACTATTTAGCTTGTATTTTATTTTCTGGTTTTT